GTCTTCGGTGAAAGTTACTTAAACCGTCGTGGTTTAGATAATTCAGAATGCACATGCTTCCTAAGTCACTCCAAAAATGTACCTGTGCCCCGCCTGGTAGAACCAGGGCCAGCCTGCAGAGCCCTGTGCTGCAGGAGGAGGCTTCAGGCAGAGGTGGTCTTGAGCACTGGAGCTGGGCAGGAAGGCGGGTGCCATGATTCTGGCTTTGTGTCAGAGGCAATTGTGATGTCTACCTTGATGTGTGACATTAAAAAAAAAAAAAAGGAACTATATTGTCTTTACTCTAAACGCTGATTCTGTAGATTATGTTGTAAATTCTGTGTAGTTTTCTTCCATTTGTCTTAAGAAATTCTGATCTAGCAAGTCACTATGTGATTTCCAGGGTAAAACTTTAGGCAATAAGTTGTTCTAGAAGGTTTTTATTTTTTGTAGCTGAGTGGCCCTCAGATTGTTTTGATGATAGGACACACAAAGAGAGATTCATTCTGGATCGGTTCTTAGCACACACATTTTTGTATGTGTGTAAGTGAAATAAGTTTTTCAAAACAGTACTTGTATTTCATGTTAAGGCGTTGATATTTTCTGTTTTATACTTTATTTTTAAAAATAGGGGCTGGGGATATAGCTCTGTGGCTGAGTGCTAGCCTAGCATGCACAAGGCCCTGGGTTCCATTCCCAGCAACAGTAAAAAAAAAAAAAAAAAAAAAAAATACTTTTTTGTAAACCATTTGTGGGGTTGCAGCTTATAGCTTCAAAAACAGTCCCTCACTAGGTATGGTGGCTCATGCCTGTAATCCCTGCAATTTAGGAGGCTGAGGTAGGAGGATTGCAAGTTCAAGGACAACCCTAGCAGCATAGCAAGACCCTGTCCCAAAATAAAAAATGGGATAGGGATGTGACTCAGTGGTAAAATGCGACTGGGTTCAATCCCTGGTACGGCGGCGGGCGGCGGGGTGGGGGGGACCCAACACTGCCTTGATCCATAGCTGTAGTACTTCATGGGTCACTTTCCCCAAGAATTGCCCATACTTTTTGATACGCTTTGCCTAAGGAGCCTTGCAGCCCAGTGTGATTGTGGGCCACCATCCTGGTGGCTGGTACTTTTCTCCCTCCACAGCCTCCTTCCCTACTTCTCGGCTTCAGTGGGAAGTTCACACCATGCCTGGCCTTGCTGCTGTTGCCACGGCCTGTGCTGGAAGAAACCGGGTAATGGAGACCTGGTGTGTGATGACGTTGGTGCTCCATCCTTGAAGCCCAGCTCTGACCCAAAGATCAGAGGCTCTGTGGTCCTTCTGATGGGTGTCTTGAGAAGTTGGGTCACGTGTGTGGTGTGAGGACAGATAAGCCTGGTGTCCACTTCACAGCTGGCAGCTCTGACCGGTGCTTGCTGGGGAGTCTGGGGAAGAGCCCAGGAGCTACCTGGGAACTGTGTGCTAGTCCTGGTCCCAGGGCCTCTGGCCTTCACATACAGCGGCAGCACACCTCTGCATGACGTGGCACACCCTGCTGTCCTTCCTTCTGACTTAAGAAAAATCATTGGTTTTGAAGTGGGGGAGGAGTGGGCCTGAACATAGTCCATCAGTGTGTAGTGAGCAAGCTCCAAGAGACACTGTTTAATTTGTGTGTGTGTTTCACTTTTTCATTAAGGGAACATGGATTGTTTCACCTTACGTGACACATGTCAGGAGCGCCACTGGACATGGTCATTAAATTGGAAAAGTAATCCGATGGCTCAGCAGAGGGGAACCTGTATAATTGTGTTACTAGCCTTCAGTGTTTTCACCCTGGAGGACAGGATGGCAGGTAGCGGAGGCTGAAATTCACTGTCTTGCCACTTTAAAATCACCACAAGAAATGCCAGTATTCACTTCACAAGTTAATTTGTAGCTTCTTAGAGTTAACATGATGTTTGGAAATAATTTTATAATACAAATTACTAAAAATTTATTTTTTATAACATTGGTATAAAATGTCACACTCTGGTAAGTGACATCCTAAGACAGTTGTGAGGGCCTTTAATGTTGTCTCTTCAGGGCCCCTGTCATGCCATCCCTGACAGCTGACCATCACACAGAGGTGTCAGAGGTATCCCCCCGCTGTCACACTCCTGCACATCTTCTCATGAGAAGTCTTCCAGGAGAGCTCCTCGTCCTCCCTCATCCCACCGACAGCTCTTCTGCAGTGTTAAAGCCCTTTGTAAAAATTCATGTCATGCCTTTAGCCTAAACACTTTATTTCCTAAACTTTCTCCAGTTTTGGCAGCAAAAGGATGTTTTGAAACCTATGCCTCTTGGCCAACGCATCTTCCATTGACTGGTGGAATGTTGCTTTAACCCCATTCATTTTGAGCTGGCATTATTTGGGGCTTGATTCCTGTTTTATTTAAAAAATAATAATTTAATAAATAATAATTTATTTCTTAAATAAACTATTTAATTTTATTTCCATCTTCCTTGATGTAAATACAGCCTTCTCCTCCCTTTAGTGGGGAGGTTACTTTATCTTTGACTTGTGTTAGAAATTGTTTTTCCAACGTGACAAGGAAACTTGATAAGGCAGGAGTGAGTTTCCCAGCCTCGCAGTACCTCGGGGAATTCAGCAAACTGTCTCATTGGAGAAAAGGAGCTGGTGGAGTAGGAGACCATATACCCAGTAATCACTGTAATGGAACCTCCTAAAGTTGCAGGAGACTGCTGTCATCCGAGTTCCCCTTCCTCTCCCTTGAAAGCCAGCATTCGGGGAGAAGCCCAGGGCCAGTACTCGCCTTGCTTTCTTGCCACTCACTGAGATGCGGCAGAGTGTGGGTTAAGAGCAGCCTGGGAGCCAGCCTGACAGGAACTTGGCAGGTCACACACCATTGAGCTTTCCTGTCTATAAAACAGGTGAGATAATGGTGCCTGCCTCCTGGGCTGCTCCAGGATGCACCACAGCTTTGGCACCAAGCGTTGAGTAGGGTGAGCACTCTGGCAGGGTTTGCTGCTGCACCGTCAGTGTCGGTCTCCTCTCTTTAGGTGTCTGGCAGAGCTTAACTCATGTTATCAGTTTAGAACCCAGACATCTCCCTAGTAAAGCAACATGGCACCTAGATGTTTTGTGAATTTTTGCTGAAACGCACTTCGGGGGGGAAAAAATGCACTTAGGCTCATGACTCGTGAGTAGCTTTAATGATATTGTCTTCTGATGATCAGTCACATTCTGTGACTTCCTACATCAGCAGTGACTGGAGGAGGAAGAGGAGGATTGGTGGGGTGGTGACAATACCAGTCTACTCATATTAGGTAGACACACAACTTACGGCCAATAGGCAACAAATTTCCATTTCTTGTATGATGGTACTGACATTTACACCAGTTTTAAAACTATAATGAAACCAGCCCAACAGAGGACTAACACTGGCGTGAGTCCCAGGGGAGCAAAGCTGTTGTTTTCCAGGCCTTCTGCTGACTGCTGCTCTCGGTAAAATGTAAGGAACTGATCGGCGCCTCCCTTATAGTCTTCTGCTAGATGAGGCCTCCCCATGGTGGGTTGTGGCAGAGAGAACTGAGAAAAGTTCTGAAAGTCTCTAGAGCTCAGGAGCTCATCTCATTCTTCACGAGCACCCCCATCAGCACTGACTTTGATTTCTCATTATCCTTCATGCAGAGCAGACAGAGATGGCTTTCCAGTTAATCAAAATTTTTTTTAACTATCTAAAAGGAAATTCTTAAGCCTGGAGCAAATCATTTCAAAAGATCTTGTTTATATTCACCTACTGCTCCACTAAGTGAAAGAAGAGAATGTTGTTTTCAAGTACAGTTGGAAAGTCGTTTCTGCAAATTAGAATATTTCTGAGTATATCAGCAGAGGGAAAGTAAGGACCTGGGATTCAGAGTGAGGCAAGCTAGGCTCTCCTTTGGCTTTTCCTCAACTAGCTGTGGAATGGGTTTGACATGTGAGGAACTCTCCAGCTCTTATGCATTTTGAGTGTATGTTTCAGTATGCTACGTATTTCTATATGAGTGGCAGGAGTCCTGTTCTGATTTGCGCCTCTGGTCATCTGAACACCAGAGGCCACTCTGTAAACCTTGTAATGTGAGACCTGGTGTGGACGCACCTGTGAGACACCCTGTAGTCCAGGCCAGAGACTCATGAACCTGAGTTATGACTTCCCTGGTCACTCCCAGAGCCTGAAAGGAGTCCAACGTGTATCTCCTAATGAATTCTACCTGGGTCCCATGTAAGTCAGGAACGAGCATGCCGTGTGGTGGATGAGAGAGGGAGGGGTTTGGCATGTTCAAAAATTATAGGACTTGATCCCCAAACTTTCAAGCAGTGTACTTACTGGATTGAAATGGCGTTCATCTTTTAGGATCTGTAGTTCATAAGATTTATTAATAACTAAGCTATGTATTCTTTCCCTAGACACTCAGCTCTCAGGAAGCCCTGGGTTTATGGTGCAGGGTAAATAAATAGTTGTTAAAATGTTCCCAACATCTCTGTACTATCTTCCTTTTAGAATGGGCCCAGCTCTACTCCCAATCGCTCAGAGGCCTTCCATGTTCATTTCCCTGAGTGACCACATGCTCACAACCCTGACAGATGATTCCTTAACATCCTGTTTGGTAGTAAATGCCAACCAATGTCTCAGACAGCCGAAGACGAGATGCACAGTGTTTTCTGCTCTCGGGTCTCCTGGTGACTGCTCTGCCTCACCTTGGCCCTCTGCCTTCAGTCCCCACCGCATTCAGGGTCAGGCTCTGAACCTCTGTCTCTTTTTACAATGAAACTTTTTTTTTTTTTTTTTAAGAATGTTTTACTGGGCTGGGGATGTGGCTCAAGCGGTAGCGCGCTCGCCTGGCATGCGTGCGGCCCGGGTTCGATCCTCAGCACCACATACAAACAAAGATGTTGTGTCTGCCGAAAGCTAAAAAATAAATAAATATTAAAATTTAAAAAAAAAAAGTTTTACTGACACTCATTGAATAACTGGCAGCATTAACCACTTGCTTTCTTCTTTACAGACACGAGACGACTTCCTGGGCCAGGTGGACGTGCCCCTTAGTCACCTTCCGGTAAGGACAGCTACGTGTCTGTGTTGCATGCTGAGGGTAGAGGCTCCTAATTGCTTCCAGCTGGTGTGTTTGCAGAGTAGCATTCCCTCGCCACCACTGAGAGGCCACAGCAAGGAGCCTGTGCTGCTCCCTCTTCCTGGTTAGAAGGTGGGCCCTGTGACAGGATGGACAGAGGCTCTCTTAGTTGTAAGATCCCCTGTGTCTGAGTCACATGAGCACTCCTGTCAGCCTCCTCAACTCCATCTCTTTTCTGCTCTAACTCCTCTACCTTTGTGCATCACAGAAGGGACATCTCCTTATGTCAAGCCCCTCTTCTTGTTACTTGGTATGTTTGCTCACATATCCACCCTTTGGTCTCTGCTGATATTCATTTCCCTGAGTCTGGAAATCTGTCTGCTGTGTGTCTTCCCTGTGTTTACCCTGTTGGGCTTACAGCTTTCTTAGTCGGCATGGAGACAGAAGAGATTCTGAGTGGCCTGACCCTGGAAACCCTGCCTTAGTGTTAGAAAGTGCACTGAGCTACCACATGTGCAGCCACTGGCTTTCCTCTGTGCTCAGATGGGCAAAACAGTTGAGGTTGTTGCTATACCTGCTTCTCGGGTTATTGCCTGCAACCCGAGGCAGTAAATACAGTGTGGGATCAGACCTGGTGGAGGTAGACATTCCATATTCCAGCTTCTGCTTTCCAGATTGTTCCATCTCCTCCTGGCCTTCTTCCCCTGGGCAGCACAAAGTAACTGAAGCAGAAGCTGTGAGAAGAAGTCAAATATTTCTGCCTTACAAGGGTGCTGTGTTTTGTCAGTGCTTTGAGTGCGTAGCATAAATAGTCTATAAACTAGAATGACTTAAACCACCTAGTGCAAGCCTCCCGCTGTGTGCAGACTGGGGCCATTCCTGTACGTTAAATGCCAAGGCTGGATCTTCCTGAGAAAGCTGTGAGGAGATGTTAGGAAGGAATGTGCTAGCAAGCAGTTGAATCTTGCTCACTCACGGAACCTATTATGGGAGAAAGGGTTCAAATGCATTCCCTCCCCCAGGACAGGAGCAGAAGTGATAGCATTGCAATATTTTTTGTTTCTATTTAAAAACCTGAAGCTCCAAGGTGCCTCAGGAAGGGGTGTGTGTGTGAGGGGAGGGGGGTGGTTTCTCCACGAGACCAATTCCTAAGTCATCAAAAAAAAAATTATTATTTTCATTGGTTCACATTGAGAGGATATGAATGTCTCGTGTGTTGTGAGGAAAGACTCTGCATTGCTGCATCTGTAGGTTTCTACTCGCGCTCTTCAGATGAAGCTATAATCTTGTCATGATTTTAAACAGTGGTGTTTGGTTGGTTCTTTGGGTGCCCCCAAGTGCCCTTTCCCTAAAGTAACAAACCACACCCTGGCTAAGATGCTTATAAGAGGCATAAGTTAAATATTTAACAATGTGCCATTAAGCCCTGTTTGAGTGATTTGCTGGTGGATGGTTTTGAAAGGTGGGCCATAGCTTCCAGAGAACAGAAGAATGTTCCCCTTCAAGAGACCAAGTCGGCAAAGGGAATAGACTTCACCTTGGGATTTTGAATGGTGGGTCTCCCCTGATGTTCATTTCCCTGAGTCTCTGCATTGCCCACCTGCTGTGTGTCTTAGCTAGTGTTGATCCTGTTGGGGCTTACAGCTTTCTTAGTGTGAGCTTTCAAAGAAGAAAGCAGTGTGAGGCCCAGGGGAGAATTAAAACCAGGTTAAAGAGGGTGGAACAGCGACCCTCTGGAGTGGATGTGTACTCCAACGTGAGCCATGTGGATGGAATGATGGGTCCTCCCAGTTACACATGTGCCTGAAGAGCAGCCTGCAGCAGACCTCCATCCTCCCCATACTCCAGGGTGACTAGCTTTTTGAGCCAACTCCATTCAGGGGAATGAACCACAAAGACCACAAGAGAGGACTCGGGTTATGTTCTTTATCTTCCTTGTGGTCATGGAACCTAAGTAGCATATTCTGAAAGGGCATGGCTTCTGGTCCCAGGATTTGAGGTGCTTTCCTGTACGTATTTGATCATACGTGAAGCATACTTAGGGAAAAATTGCAGAGTGTCATTAATTGAATCTGATAATGCACGAGTGTGAGTGTGTAACATGGAAACTAGCATTGGAGTCTGTTTTAGGAATGAATAACGTCTGCTCTCTTCTTGGTGGCTCCATAAGCATTGTCAAAAAAGATCATCTATGACCCATAGATTCAATATTTGTCAGAAGGACCAAGTTTTGGATAAAAGAAAATATCAATCTAAAAAAGTGCTCCAGCTGTCTTGCCAGTCCTCGAGGAAGCTATTGGAAACAAGGACGTGGTGGTCGAGTGGCCCCTGCCAGCTCACCCAAGCCTTTTTAGGGAATAAGGAACCTGGGTGTAGGACTACTGATTGATTTGATATGGCCCCACGCTCTGCTGGAGAATTCACTCCTTCAACAAATATCCATGCATAGATAGGACATAGTTTCTGAGGATGGTTCAGTGAAACAAGTTCCTCTGTGGTGTGGCCAGGTGCCTCCATTATAGGAGCCACACCTGCGAGTTTAGCATTTGAAATGTGGCTTTGCCTGGGAGCTGAATTTATAATTCTACTTCATTTTAATCAAGATTTAAGCTTACGGAGCCATACGTGGCAAGTGGGGTGCCACATGGAATGGCACATGGGAAAATCAAACCCGAGATCCCTTACTGAGGTCAAAAGTGCCTGATTCTAGATTCTTCTTTCCTCAGATAAGAGTTCTCACTACCGGGGCACCACAGGTGGGAGTTTTTTATTTCTTTTCCCTCACCTGAGGCTGTTTCTCTCCAATTCTACATATGTACCATACTAAATATATTTAATTTAGATAAGGAAGGGCTTTGCATTTTGGATGTTTTCCAAATCTGTATTACTGCCTGTTCCTTCATGCTGACGTGTTATTCACTTATTTATTTTAAAGCATTTCAAACCTGGAATGAGGCATTGTCTTGTTGCCCAAGAAATTATAAGCCCTTCTCTTTTTTTTTTGTGAGGAGGAGGGAGGTTCCAGGGATTGAACTCAAGGGCACTCAACCACTGAGCCATACCCTCAGCCCTATTTTGTATTTTATTTAGAGAGAGGGTTTCACTGAGTTGCTTAGCGCCTTCTTTCTGCTGAGGCTGGCTTTGAACTTGGGATCCTCCTGCCCCAGCCTCCCAAGCTGCTTGTCTCTGCCTTGCTTGCTTCTGCCTGCAGATGGTGCCAGCCCTCAGTGACATCCCTCATCTAAACTAGGAATGGGACAAGCAAGGGTCGAGACAGGAAAGTGGATTTGGGGTAGACTCTCATGATTGTTAGGAAATTGTTTTTGATAATTTGAATATTTCTGTTTTATGTTTTGTGTGTGATTTGGAAAAGGACATCTTGGAGGCCACATAACTGATTGTTGTTAGCGAACTCTTCCTTGTTAACTCTAGAGGCCTGTCGCTATGGTTGCCAGTGGATATTGGTGTTTACAATGTAAAAACTCACTTTCAGATTCTGAGGCTTGGCTCTTCTAGTGTCCCCATTTTCAGTCATGAATTTCCTGTCCTAGAGATGCCTCCCAGGCAGACTAGAGGGTTTGCTTAGCCTCCCTTGCAGGGCTCACCTAACAGCAGCTCCAGAGTGGAGACCTACAGGTGAACAGGCTCTTCGGCACTCCTCCACAGCCCACTGCCAGGAGCTGGGTACCTGGGTTAATTAAGTGTCCTGTTGGGCCTGTGAGCCATTGGTGCAAGTCCAGGTTGGCACTCTGCCAGAAGACAGGGAGGAGGCAGCTGGGAACCAAGAGGTGGGGAGGGCGGTAGTGGAAGCCTGGGTTCCACATGGTAGAAACACACTGCCTCAGTTCTCAGCTGCCTTTTCCCCCTCTGATCATGGATTCCCCAATGCTTGGTTCTTACCAGATACTTCCAGATTCAGGAAGAAAATTTTGGAATTGTGGTTCACTTTCATGTGTGGTTGTGAGACTCAATCCTCCTGTTTTATTTGTGGGAAAAGTAGATAGGAAGTAGGATTCACCTCTGTTTCCATCGCTTTATTCCAGATTAACTGCTCATTTTTAATACCTCTTTTCCATTTTATTTCATTACAAGGCGAGGAGTAAAAGAAGGGGGAGCCAGGGGAGGGCAAATAGGCTTGGTAGGCTGACCCTCTATGTAGGTCAGAGAATTAAGGAAACCTGAATACTTACTCTAAGAAGTCTCCAAAAGTCAGGCTTTAGAAGAGGGCTCTGTCAGGCTTTATTGACTGCTATGTGGGAGATGGGTGAGTTGCCTATTAACCTTAACCAAGATAGTATGTCTTCCTAGAATAAGGGTGCTTTCCATAGAATGAGGGTGCATGCACCGATGAGACCAAGTTTCCATCCAGCTCTGTGACAGAGCCCCAGAGCTGGTCCAGTGCTCCTAAGCAGAGGCATTGGTGGCTGGGATGACATGCGTGTTACCTAGGAGATGCTGGCAGCAGCAGAAATGGAAGGCTGTGCCTGCAGGTCCTGTCGCCTGCAGCTTAAACGCAGTATCTCTTGTTTTCTACTCTGGGCACCCGAGCAAACCTAGATAGCTGTAACTGTACGTGTTTGCTGATTGTTTTAAACTGCGTTTTCACATTTGTTTGCTAAATTCAGTGCATAATTACTTAAAAGTTCATAGAGTATTTGATTAGTCGTATCTACCAATTATTTAGGGATTAAAAATAACTCTGGGGCTTGTATTAACAACAGAATGAAATTCTGATGGGGTTTTCTCACTGCTTCTGAGCTTTTTCTTCTTCTTGCTCAGTTGTAGCTCCCTTGCCTGTAGAGACCCCAGCCCTCCCACCTCTGCCCAGCCAAAAACCCCACCTCTGTGGGCAGTGCCCGGGGGCAGAGTGCTCTTGTTACAATGTTCCCGTCTCCCACCTCAGTCAAGTGCTGCTTGGTGCAGCCATGGCTAACTTCTGACCTTTAGCTTTTCCCAAAGTAAAAAGCATTTTCAGGGTGCTGCCCTAGCTGCTGTTTAGTACTTGAGGGTAGCCAAGGTGGTCAACATTCTTTCACCCCTTTTCTATTTACAGCTCGTGGCAACTGATCCTTCTCTTGTGTGCAGAATCCAGTGTCATGGAATGTGGAGGGAGTTGAAGGGTATTTATGTATTCCCAAGTATATTTTCCAGATGAGGAAACTTAAGACCAGGGAGAGAGATTACCTGTCCAACAATTGGCAGGTTGTTCATAGTGCTGGACCCCACCCCAGCATCAGTGTGCCTAGGCACAGTCAAGGGTGTGGGGGACAGGAGTAGCCTGAAGCTTGGGAGCTTCTGGTGGTTGCAGGCAGATTTTGAGTTTGAAGACCTAGGAGACCCTCCCCCTGTCCATTTGCCTGCAAAAATAATTTATCTCACCTTGTGTCGTAGTGACTGTACTTTTTGCTAAAGCAACTGTCCTCTTTAGGATGACAGCAGGGTATGTTCTTTTGAATTTGCATCTATTTGTGATGGCTTCTCACTAGGAGCATCCTTGGTACCCTCCTGGGATCCCCACCTGGCTTCTCTCCAGGTAGCATGAGCAGGTTGTGACCTGGATAAATGCATGTAGTTATCTACATGGTTACCATCCTGTTCAGGCTGGAGAATTTCCATGAAGGTGAATTTTCATCTTTAGTGCCCTGCCTCTTGTTGCCCAGCATTGAGCTGGCAATACTCCTGTGACATGAAAATGTAGAATCGACTCATGGCAATAATGGCCAAGCTTGTTAGGTGTGGTAGGCACCTTAGGACTGTGGTAAGCCACTACAACTAACCGACTTAACCTTCCCAACAACTCTCTTAAGATCCAGTCACTGATTCATTTTGTAGATGAGGACATTGGAGCACAGAGAGGTAAGGACCCTCTGGGCCACACAAAGCCAGGGCACAGACCACTCAATCTGTGAAGTGCTGGTGTTTGAACTACATGGTGTGTGCACAGATTCACTTCTGAGTCTGCTGAGTGCTGCTCTTCCCCACTCACTCCCTTGCTCTCTCCTCTATTCCCGGGTCCTTGTGCTAAGATCCTGTAAGCTGTGCTCATGCTGTGGGTTCCCTAAGGTTGTGCTGTTCTTCCTCCCACTTCTCCACCTGCCACAACCTGCCCACTCACTCCAGAATCATTTTGATCCCCAAGTCAGAGCCAGTCTTTTCCCTCCACCCTAAGTCTTAGAGATTGTAGCGGCCCCATGTCAGTGGATGTGTGGAGCCACAGAGCCCCCTGCACTGTGACGGCCCCACCCATGCAGCTGAACCCCAAGGCCAGGACTGTGTCATAGCCACCCGTCACTGCTCTAGAAGTGTTTGTTGCTTGAATAAATGAAAAAATGAAGGAATACCAGCAGTAGAATTCTTGATTACTGAATGTTCCGTTATGGGTAATGTATATTTAACTTTTTTTTTGGTAGAAAATGTTCCCAAAATGTCTGATTTCGATTTACTATTTTAACTAAGAACAGTCCAGAGAATATAATTGACTTTGTTCAATGATACACTAGAATTTCAGGGCCTCAGTAGTTTTGATAGAGCAAATAAACTTACATCTGTGCCTGCTGAGCGCCAGGCAATACTCTTGGCACCAGCAATCCAGGGTGAGCACATTCAAGTCTCTGATCTCATGGGCTTACATCCTAGAAGAGATGAATGATAAACTCATCAATAAACAAGAGTACAGGATAATTTCAGATAGCAATAGGGGAAGATAAAGGAGAGCGGTACAATAGAGGAAGACGAGGTAGGCTCCATGGTGACAGTTTAAGATGAGGGCTCTAGGGGTGAGATGGCAGATGGAGACAGCCAGGCCATCTGGAGTCAGCTGTCCAGCAGAAAGACCTGCCAGGGGCTGGGTCCTACTACAGCAGGATTAGATGTGATTGGCACAGATGACAGATGAGGCCAGGATGGTTGGAGTATGAGGAGTGGTCAGGAAGACTGGTTCATAATGAGGATAAAGGTAATTAAAAACCCAGTCATATACCTTGTAGGTCATAGGAAGGAATTTTAATTTTATTACGAGACAAATAGGAAGCTATTGAGAGGTTAAAGCAAGGAATGACGTCAGCTGATACCATTTCAAATACAATAGTTTGCGCATACACATCCTTTGTATACTAAATCATTGTACTGTGGTTTGTCTCTTGCTATAAAAGTAAGTATTTTAAATTGCATTTAATTGAAGGGTCTAGATATTTGAGGTTTTACAAGTGTAGTATTTTTTTAAAATAATAAGTAGCAGGGCTAGGGCTGTATCTCAGTGGCAGAGCGCTTGCCTAGCACGTGTGAGGCACTGGGTTCAATCCTCAGCACCACATAAAATAAACAAAGGTGTTGTGTTTATCTACAACTAGAAATATATTTTAAAATCCTTTAAAATAATAGCAACACTTATGTTTCCCAATGTCCTGCTTCGTTAGGACAGACAACTTCGTACAATAAAGTGAATACTGATTTCTTTTCATATGAACAGATTTCATCTCATTTTAAAGCTCCTAGCTTTAAAAAGTAAGTCCCAAGAGAGGATCAGTTGGTGGCACTCCTTGGTCTCTGTGCTGGAGATAAATCTGTCAATTCTTTTAGGCTAATGACATGATGTTTTAATGCAAGAAATAAAGTTGCCTTCAAAAATTAGGTCTTGAGGCCTCTACATTTAGATTTCTTGAGTCACAAGGGAAAATAAGACACCAGTGACCCTTGGTTCTCTGAAGCTGATTAACTCCCTGAGATTGAGGCCACACCCTGAAGTTAGAAATTACACTTGGCAGCAATGGCTATAATTTTGTCATTTGTCTGTGGCAGCGGTTGGCTCCTAAAACCCGATGTGGATAGTGACATCTAGTGGATCTTAAGTAGACAAAACCTCGTGTCCTATCAAATGCTCAATCAATCATCTAGTACCAGTGGAGGAACCAGGTTCCTTTCACCTTGGCCACGTTCTAAAGTATAAAAACGTATTCTCTAGAACCCAGATTTCTGTCTCCAAAACACAAAACTGTCAGGAGCATGGAAGCCTAACTTACTTTTTCTTCTCATAGACAGAAGATCCAACCATGGAGCGACCCTATACATTTAAGGATTTTCTTCTCCGCCCAAGAAGGTGAGGCTTGGGGTGGGCGTGGGAGGGGTGCTGTCCTGCTGGCTTCAGGCACTGGTTTCTTGGGGGACAATTTCAGCAGTCCCTGTAAGCAGGAAGGATGTAAGCAAGCCATATCCTTTATGACCAATTTTCTCCCTTTACGCAGTCATAAATCTCGAGTGAAGGGATTTTTGCGGCTGAAAATGGCCTACATGCCGAAAAACGGAGGTCAAGATGACGAGAACAGTGAGCAGAGGGACGACATGGAGGTATGCAGAGGAGCCGCAGGCCCTGGCCTGCCTTCCTGGCTCAGTGCCCTGACATTCCACTGTGAGGCTTTGTCATTGAAAGAGGAAAGAAGTTTATAAAGTTAAATATGAGAACACTTAGTGTCCCCAGATACATTTTTGATGGTCTACCAGTGTATTTTAGTAAAATTGAGCTTGTTTTCCTCCTCCTGTGACACTAACTGGACAGTGGGTCTTTAGACAGTGTGGAATACTCTGTGGACAGCCCTCTGCCCCAAGACTCCCCTCACTCGCCAGGGCTGTTGTTGCTTTGGGCTCTCAGCTCTCCCGAAATTCCTTGTTGTACCTGAAGCTGCCTCAGAGGGGGGCTAAGGTGATTCAGAAGGTCTCTCTCCATTTCTTATTCATTTGACCCACAGGTGATAGCCTGCATTAGAAGAGCTCTCCTCTGGAAATACCATTTTGAAATTAGTTGTCCAGAGCAATTTAGTTTTTTGCCCTCCTGGCATAGTGGCCTCTCAGCTTTCTGGTCACATACCTGTGCCATGGGTCCCCTTGTACCTTTCTTCACACGCCTCAGACAGTGCTGTTCCCTTGGACACACTCTCGTTGTTCTGAAAGTGCCCATTGAACAGGCCTCTCTGAGGCTGTCTCCACATCTGTTTGCAGCTGTCACGTATACTCGATACATGAATAATGTGTTGTGGGCAAGCTGACCAACCCCCCACCAGTACCAAGCCATGTTCGCAGGTGGCGCTGGCTGCTGGCTTCGCAGCTCCCACACGTGGAGAGGACTGCAGTGGGTGGCAGGCCGTGGTGGAGGCTGATGTTTCGTCAGCACAGCAACAGATTTTTATTTCAAATCCAAGGAATTTTTTTACACTCTTCTTGCCTTCCAACTGCAGTAACCAGTGAATTACTTAATTTTCCAGTGACTTTACTAGGGGATGTTAGGAAAGCAATACTTAATGCCTAAAGTATGCGTTGTGAAAATGTCACTCTCACCCCGGTACCACGAAGCCTATTTGTGTGCAGAGTCTGAGGAGGCTGCAGCAGCCGCTTCTGGACAACTTCTTCTGGCTCCTGGGATTAGAGCTGACCAGGGCAGAGGCTTCCCTTCCTCTCCATGCTGGCCTCGGGGCCATCCTCCAGGGACCATCAGAGCCCTGGGCTTTCCGATCACCCGGGCCGTGCTTTCTGTTAGAACGTTTGGGTTTATGGCTCACCTTTACCCTCAGGAGGTGTCCAGTGAATGTCAGCTGTAACCTGGCCCATGGTCGTTGGCTTCCTACAGCCCTGTTATTCAGGTCAGAATAACAAACAGGAAACATGACAGGGGTATAATGTGACTTAGGTGACTTCACAGACTGCATATCCCAACCTGTGTGGCTCCCTGCAGTGGAGTCCTCTTGGCAGGCAGCATGAGTAAGACCACTGCTCAAAAGATTTTGAGACTTACATTTATTTTTTTTATTTTTATTTTTTTTGAAATTCATCCAAATGTGACACACGAAGCCATTGCAAGAACCAGGGCATGGCAGAGCAAGGCAGGAGGTCACAGAACACTGGCTCTTTCCCCACCATCTGAAGAAATAACCTCATAATCTTCATTGAATTTTGTTCCACAGCATGGGTGGGAAGTTGTTGACTCCAACGACTCGGCTTCTCAGCACCAGGAGGAGCTTCCCCCTCCCCCTTTGCCCCCAGGGTGGGAAGAGAAGGTGGACAACTTGGGACGTACTTACTATGTCAATCACAACAACCGGACCACGCAGTGGCACCGCCCCAGCCTAATGTGAGTACCACACAGTGTGGGGGCACCCGGTCACCCCTGCAGATTAGGTGTGAATAGGGTGACTCTGGGACGAGGCTGGGAAATTAACCATGTGTCAGTCAAGCAAGTGGCTCCTCACTGAGGTGGGGACTTGAGAGCCAGCGAACGTGGGTCAGGAGGGAAGACGCTGTCACCTGATGTCTTGTGCTGCAGTTTCAGTATGAGCTGATTTGCTTCGCACGTCGTCTTTACATGGAATCCTGACATCTGTTTTTCCAGGAGTTATTGTAGGTTTAATGATTGTATTGCTTCCCTCTCCTTTAGCAGATTCTCCTGACTGACCCAGAATGCAAAACAAGCAAACGGGCTTTGCAGTTTTCTGTTTTCCTTTGAATTGTTTGATTTTTATTTCTTTAAATTATTGGATTTGGAAACCCTCTGAAAAGCTTTTTTTTTTTTTTTTTTTTTTGCATTTTGGGAAATGTATATATTATCCCCTTTATATGATTAGAAATGCATTAGAGATTTGGAAAGTAAGAATTAATAATTATTATTTATTCTAATCATTCACCAGCTTCAGGGATGCAGTGAGCCAGTTGATGTTTTATTCCCTCACCTTTTTTTTTTTTTCATAAAAGCAAATGAATCCTAGTTAAACCTCAACTACTATAAAAGGTTTTGAAGCAGGGTGTTGTTAAATGATAATGCAGAGCAAGATGTAAATCTAGTGGTACATAAGAAAGAGCAAAACCAAAGTACTAAGGAAAAGAAAAATTATTCTAGAACTTACGAGCTTCCTAGCAATCAAAACGAGTGGGGAGTTATCAATTATTGTATAATTCTCAATATGCAATGAAAGCAGGAATACTAGCTGAGAACATTTTCTCTTCAACCGATATTCTGAAAGAAATTTGCTAGTGATACTTTTTAGATAGGTGGTGATAGCGGTATACTGAGAAGTGTTCTTATAAACCTTTCTGAGAGAGCGCAGAGATACTCTGCATGTGATTAAAGTGGAGAAGGTGACCAATTTGGCCGGTTTAAGTTTTACTTAATTTGGAAGTAAAGCTTACAGAATCTGGAGCAATGAATACCTGATCGATCCTCCCTGAGCCTCCAAGTTGGTTCTCATGAGTATCATTTGTCCTTGGTCACTTTGGACTGCCCATTAGCTCATTGTTCACAGAACAGCATAACTATCAAGACATTGGGGTAATGCTGAACTCTTCTTGGCTATCTTTTTTCCCATAGAAATACAAATGGACATGATTTAGTTGATACTATTTATTTGCTCATAATTTTATTTATTCACATATTCCCTCTCATTAAAAATCTTAGCTATTAAAAGTATGATAAGTCATTTGACTACTTTAGGTGTTTGTAGTAAAATTGACCATGGACCCCTCTTGGGCTTGGCTGCATCCAGTGATGGGAAGTAGTAACTATACCCTAATAGAGCACCTTCCTCCACCTGCCCCCAGACAGCACCTGAAAAGGTGGCATTGCTAAGATGGCCAGAGTATCACGTGACCTTTGTGGAAGAGGGATCAGGAACAATAAAGGGACCAAATCACAAAGGAAGAAGCAGAAGTAGCTAACACACAGATGGAAAGGTCTTCAGCTTTGTTCATTGGTACCTTGCAGATTGAAGTCTGCGGTTTTGAGATAAATGGGGACACTTGATACTTTCTTGACCTCACAGAATTATGAAGCTCTGATGAGGGAATTCCTGAGAAGACACTTTGGAGTGTTTTCTCTGCATTCCATCTCCAAACTCATCACCATGTGTTCATTAAATAAGTACAGATTCTGTGTGTCAGTTGTACCTCAGTAACTTGGTGAAAAACAGTACCACCTTTGAGGACAGTGTGTTCCAGAGAACCAAAGCAAACCAGAGGGTGCGCCCCACGTAATGCTGGCTCGTCACTAAGCCAGGAGCAGCGAGGGGAAATGCAGTTCTTGGCATGAGTTCAGGTTCCAGGAGAAACTGGGACATGGCTGTCCCTGTCAGTGAGGCATCAGTACCAGAGGGAGCGGCTGAGCCAGGAAGGACATCAGTAGAACTTGGTGGAACACAAAGATGCCTTCCTTTCCAGATGGCTCGGCTTCTAGAAAGCAAGACAAAAGTCAGGGGGATGTCGGTCTCCTTGACAGAGACCTTTCATCTCCTCTGTACTTTCATGGATTGGGGTTCTTTTCCCTCAATTTTGTTAGGTCTGGTCAAAAGAACTTGGACCCCCAGAATTATCTTTGAGAATTGATTTAATTCAAAAATAACCCAGTTTTCACAGAATGCTGCAGCACCATTAGAGGGAAATGGCTGCTGTTAGGGAGTATCCTAGTCAAGAGGTCAGACAGTGGTTGTTTGTGCCAAGCCAAATGGTGACCACCTCAGTGACCGATGTTGCCCACCTGTTACAAGCCCACTGAGAACAGGTTTGAGTTCTGTCATTGACTCCCTGCTGCCTTTGGGACATTCCCACGGGGTTCTTCATCGCCCTGCTCTCTTGCCACCCACAGACACAGACCTGGTTCTTTCAGTGGCCTGTCACCGTTGCTTTCTCTTGTTCTGGGTCCTGTGGGTAGAAGCCCATCCCCCCAAACTAAAGCAAGAACCAAGAGTCTGGGGCATGCCCTTCCTGGGCCACTGCACGGTCTCAGCCGACCGGCCTTCCTCTTCTGTCCAGGTCCTCGGAAGCCTTGTGCTGCTCTACTCCTGGACTGCAGCAAAATACATTCTCAATGGACCACTGTCCAACAGGGGCCACTTCTGGAAGTGACTGGAGGTGCAGTCACTGCTTCAGGTCATCCCTGCAGTCACTACTGCACCATGGATGAAGTGATCTGACACACTCCTCTGTGGCTGGCCCTAAGCTTGATTTCAAGGCAGGTGGACCCATGCTCTCTGTTGCCATGTTCCCCAAAAGTCAGTGAAGAATGTGTATGAAAAGCAATGACCCAAGGAAGACTGAAGTAGCCTCCTCTTATTTTCTTTCCCCCAGGAAAGTCATTTTTCCATTTTCCCTTTTGTCCCATCGTCCCAGTTATGGAACACCTACATGAACTTAGAGCAACAAATATGGACCTATTTTAATACATCTGTGTCACTGAAATATTTGCAGATCTGAAAACTTGGGACTGAAGTGGTTAATTTCTCAGAAATAATCGTAAGTGGCCCTGCACTCTCAACTTCTAGTCTCGGTTTCGCCAGCCCCTCGCTCACTCACTTAATTAAATGCAGCGGCCTCCCACGTGTGAACATTTCCCCATTACTACTTAAGACCATGAAAGCCCCTGGGTGGAATTTCAAATTCAGAGTTATCTTGTTTCTTTTGCTGTTTAATTATTTCTACTTCACCCTGATCACTGATTATTTGAGCTCGTTGGATAAGGAAAATTGACATAATTGATTGTAAATGCATCTCTTTTTAAAAAAAAAAAAAAAAACTGGCACAGTAGATTTTCATATATTTCTGAAGGAAGAAAGATACAGACATAGTAACATTAAATCTTTATTCTTCTCCACCTCTCTAAGTCCCTGTAAGAGCCCGGCATGTACAACGCACCTTGTTTAGGGACAGTCACTTAGCAGCACGAACAGGTTACACCCTTGGTGTGACTGCAACTGGCATTTCAAGGAAGATTTAAAATGTTGACAAAACTCTTGGATATGAAATATTTTCAAGTGATGCTGCTTGTCCTAAAGAGAAATTGCTTACATCCTCAAAAAGTGAAAGAGGATGTGTACTGTTCCTTTGCCTTACTGCTGAAATTGTTCACACACTTTATGAATGTATTCTGATCATTTTTCTTCCAAATTTTTCTGTTGTCTATTGATTGTATTTCAGCCATTGTGTGTTTAAGAATTGGATGTCATCTAAAAGTGGCAACTACATAAAATCACACATACAGCGTTGTTTGCTAATGTAGTGTCATTTTTCATAATGTAGTGTCATTTTTCATAATTCCGTTTTCATGCTTTCAGAAGTTTATTAATATACTTTTACATACTTTGACTTTAATAATTCCCTCTATGATCATAATGTTTTCTGAAGATCTCTATGAAGTGTACTGTTTTACTCTAGTTATATGTAATATAACTGTACAATAGGCAAAGAAGGTCTTTAGTTAAGAGTGACAAACATTTGTGTATTGGGCATACAAATACAATAAAACATTAATCCAGACACTAATGATAAGGAATTATGATTTAAATGTAGATTAAATAGAAGCACACTAACCTGCACACTTGCCCCTTGACCAGGAAAGCTCATAGTGTAAAGATGTCCGTTGGAAGTGCTCAGCTGTTGAGGAAGTCCGTGTTGAAAAGTCATCCACTTACTTGCCAACAGCTGCTAATTGCAGACTAGTCACTACCTCGGGGGCTCAGCAGGCACCTTTTGGGATATAGCATAAATTAGTCTGAGACTGCACTAGAAACTTTAAAACCTTTGTTTTAGAAAGAATCTATAATTGGGCTCTTAATATTATATTTCATTTAATCTGAAATAACTTTTTCATCTAGTCCGTAATATCAACTTGCAATATAATTTTTGTTAATGGAATATCAGATCTTATTGAAAGTGTGCTGAGAGTTTCCTCTGGAAAGCATTTTAGAATTTAAACTTCTACCCTGAAAGCCTCTGAGGAGTTTTTCTTCCCCAAAGGACCGTTACCTGTAATATGCGGCAAAAATGTTTTCAAGATTACATCAGTGTATTCTAATCCTGAACTGGGAACCTTATGTGACCCCTCTCACTATCCCCCAAAAAGATGTTTTAGTATTCTTTAAATCCCAGTGAACTTGGGAAGTTGGTTCCTGGTGTTTATTCAGATTTTTGAAGTAGGTTGGAAGGAAGCAGGATGTGGTGTTAGGACTCTTGAGATTTTGTCAGAATAAGATAGAAAGCAGCTGCTGGGTCAGCAGTTCTCTTGTCCAGTTGTAGCCATGAGTTTATGCTGTCAGTTATCTTGGGTCAATTGCTGATGACCGAAGTAGCTGCTTTGTCATTGCTGGACTCCTTGAGGATTTTGTTCCGATGAGCTGCATGTGTGAGCTTGCCTCTCACCTCCTTGCAGATGCCTCGTGTGCCACATGGGTTGGGGGACTTTGATTCCTGTTCTTAAATACTGAAGTACATTTTGAGGTATCATCAGTGCTGTCTTGATGGTTTCCCCAGATGAAAAATACGTGGAAAAAAAACACCATGCCTGTACTTTTTTTTTTCTTATTGTCATTCCTTAAACAAGGAGGATAACAAATATTTTCATGGCATTTACACGGTATTAGGTATTATAAATAACCTAGCAATAACAGTGTGTGGGAGCCCATGATGGGTACTGTGCCATTTTCTATGAGAGGCTTGAGCATTTGTGACTTTGGTTTCCTTGGGAAGGGGAGGGGATCCTGGAACCATTCCCTCATGGATACCAAGGGATGACTGTGTATACCTGAAAGATGCCCTAAAAATTGTGACCGCTACACTACAGACAGCATGCACTTGATTGGAAGGGACCTTGCCTTGCTTTCTCCCCAAGATAAGATAGATGGAAGAGTTCTCTGGCAAGCAGCCGTGGTCAGTGGGTGTCACTGGTGTCCTGGCGTGCTGCCCTTAAGGTTAGACTGTCGGAGGGCTGTTCTAAATGCCACTCCCCTTCTTGCACCCCCACCCCACTCTTAGGGACGTGTCCTCGGAGTCGGACAATAACATCAGGCAGATCAACCAGGAGGCCGCACACCGACGCTTCCGCTCTCGGAGGCACATCAGCGAGGATTTGGAGCCCGAGGCCTCGGAAGGCGGGGAGACCCCTGAGGTAGGAGGACCTGTCGTGATTCCTTCTCAGTGACTCTTGTCTAGGATGTAAAGATGATTCGCACAGCGAATGGGTTGCCATCTGGTGTTAATTAATTTAGCAAGTGCTTGTATAAAAGCCGTATTTGACAAGCACATGTGACTCTGTATCATCACAAAAGGGAATAACATTATTTCTAGTATGAAAATCTGAAGATACTTTCACTTGGTAATTTGTTTTTCCCCCAGAGTCTAACCATATCTTATTAAACGACATCAGGTTATCATGTTTGAACAGTTGAACAAGCCCTATTACTTGTTCACGACTCACAGTCAAGTTTTTACTGAGTTGTTTTGACATCTTGAAGGAGATTTATGACCAAAAAAAAAATACAAATTTGGGTCAATAGAAATGTTTATAATCTTCTCTTTTAATGGTGGTAGTGCGTCAAACAATAATCTTGACTTCCATGCTGTCTTAACAGCTCTGTTCTCTTGCTAGAAATATATTCTTTTTAGACATTGAATTGAAAAGAAGACCATTCACAAACTGTTGCAGTGATCACAATTAGAAAAGCAAATTAAGGATTTTAAAATAAATCCACTAGAAGTTGCTTTATTCCAGTGTTTAATTACAGCTTGTAGGATCTGTGCTGTTTTCATTATGAATCCTCAGCAGTTAGAGTAAAAGAAACCCATGGAAATCACTGGTGCACTCCTGAGAAGACTGTTTTAGCCCAAGTACATTTAACAAATGCTGTCAAGAGGCTGCAGCTCAGAGAGCTGGCTCCTGCCCTAGAGGTGTGCAAGCACCACCCCTGCACCAGGCATCCTGGTCACATCTTGGTGGCCATGCCTCTCACTAGCTCTTATACCTCAAGAGAGTTACAGTCCATGTCTCAGTTTGCTCATCTGTTAATTGGGACAGGAGTCATTTCTTTCTCATAATGATCGTGAAGTTTGTGTGCCTCGTGTTAAGTGTTGACTACAAGTTAATTATAGCCATCCCCATGGTTATTGTATGTTTTCATTGAGGACAGGACAATCCCCAGTTCTTAGCATTTACCCCAGTGTCTCATTCCTTGAAAGCCTTGGGAGACCATTTCAGAAGAAGTGAATATGGCTGGAGACTCGCTTGGCCTGGCTCTGCCCCCACCGCCCTCCTCCCCAGTGTCTCGAACCAGCCCTCAGGAGCTGTCAGAGGAACTAAGCAGAAGGCTTCAGATCACTCCAGACTCCAATGGGGAACAGTTCAGTTCTCTGATTGTAAGTAGAGGTCTTGAGCAATATTCTTCATTGTTGCTTCGGGAGAATCTTGTATGTAAATGACACCCAAGGGTCTTCCAACTTCCAGTTATCTCTGACATTTTCCAAAGTTTCTTCTTCCCCAGAAGCAAGGTTATACTAAAATTAGCCCAGGCAGGTGAGAATCTTTTTTGATTTGGAGAACAGCTGTGCATCACCAGCTCTTTTTCTTGATTTGTTAAAAAAAAAAAAAAAAAAATTCAAAGGTTAAGGTTCCATGAATTCTGTAATTACTAGCTATAACCTTGTAGAATTTCTTTCCCAGCCCAAAAAGCTCATAAAAATAGTGCCTTCGTCATTAAGGTGTTTTTTTTTACAGTGATGATTATTTGATGGTGAGGATAGAAAAAAGCTTTGGGCCTCCTGATCTGAACATCTGAAGCCATGCCTTAGAGGTTTATCATTCCCACTTCACAGATAAGGGCATTTGATTTAAGTGGCCCATCCCTGACAAGGTTTGAATGGGAATAGAAGACACCTCCTAAGTCCCAGAGCACGAGTCCTTAAGAAAGGGTGTGTAAGGTGACACTGGCATCAAGGTAGCCTTTGGGCTGAGGTTCTCAACCATCAGAGAAGTGCTTTCTAGAAGCTTCAGATAGGGCTGATCACCAGGGAAAAGCAAAGGAATCAGTCATGAAGAGCTTTGCATTTGACAAGACAAAACTGCAGAGAAAGCCTATAGATAATCCTAGCATGTGTGTCGAATTAAGATCAAACGCAAACCTAGTGGTTCTCAAGAAACTGAACTGGAAGATGCACTACAGGAATATGGCAGTCTCTCCACTGAAAATGACATCCTAGGAACAGTCACTATCATGAGCATACTGAATATAAAGAGAGGACTCCATAAATACAAAAGCCTAGCAAGCATTCATAAGATTTTTCGCTCCTTTGGCAGGGTGTTTTCATTTCAAAAGACATAGTGGGTCACTGTTAACATGAGTTTCGGGGATTACTTGTTAATATGGTTTCACATTAAAATTCTATGAATGTTTTTCAGAAAGAGGAATACCACTGAGATGAAAATTTAGTACTAAGTGAACAGGAAAAGAGGTTGTATATGTGGGATATTTGAATTGGTAAAGCTGTTGCTATGGAAACAAGCCATGAAGTCATGTACTTAATACCTATGAAAAAAGGAATTGCTGAAACCATAGCAATTGTATACCTTTAGTGAAACAAGTGAAAAAAAGTCAGTTTTACTCAACATTAATAATAAATTGGCATTTCTAGTTATTTGCATAGCGAGCTCTTGCATGTAATTGTTCTATAAGCAAAAATAAGCATGCACACATATCTTTCAGATCCAAGTGCAGTATTTTTGTGTTTTCAGATTATGGTAAGTGTTAGAATGTCTAGGGAACACTTCTCTGGTTTTGCCTCTCAGGGTCACTCTGTAGTCAAGAACAGTTGCATGAATATTTATTCAAGAGTGACTCCTTTATGGAATCAACCTAGATATCTGTCAACAGATGAATGGATTAAGAAATTGCAGTATATATACACAATGGCATTTTACTCAGCTATAAATGAAATTATGGCATTTGCTGGTGAATGGATGGAAATGGAGAACATGCTAAGTGAAGTAAGCCAGACTTACAAATTCACAGATCATGTTTTTTCTCATATGTGGAAGCTAAAGTAAGATAAAGGAAAGAAAAGGGGGAGGATCGGATATTGTAAAGCTGTAGGGAAGATCAGTAGTGTAGAAGAAGGAAATTGAGAGGGCAAGAGGAGGATCAGGGAAGGGGAGGAAATGCAGAACGAATTCTTTAAAAATAATGTGCACATATAAAAGTGGAATTCCCTCTGATATATTTATAAGTAGAAAGAACTAAACAAAAATAAATAGGTGAGCAAAAATAAGACCAGCAGAGGAAGGAGACATGGGGAATGGGGGGAACATGAACTAAAATTGAATTGCATGCATGTGTGATTTTTGTCAGGATGAACTCAACTACTTTCTATAACTATAATGCTCTAATAATAAATATTTTTTAAAAAGCAACTGCTCCACACGAGTCAGTGTGGGAAAGCTACATGGTAGTCCCTGTCACCACCACAAAATTTTTCTTGGACATTATCTTATTTTACTTGTCATTGTAAAATGTTAAAAATAAGTGCATGTTACAGACTTGTATGGTGGCTAAATCTGCCCCAAGAGAGACCCTTGTTTTCCATCTGTGATCTGCTCCCATCTCCATTCAGATCTGTCAGGCTTTGTTTAACCACATAGAATGGGAGGAACATTCTACATTGCACACTAGGTTGGTTTTAGACGAGCCCCACTGTTTTCCTTCCTTTCTGTTCTGTACGACTTGAACTCGGAAGCTAAAATGATAAGTACCTCATCCTTCAGGAGGAGGAGGATAAGGTGAATTCTGAGTTCCTGGGGACATAGAATCCAGCAGATTCTTTGTCACCTGTGAGAGTCAGTAAATGTCAAAGAGCCTTATATCTCTGTTCCTTCTTCCTTTTTCCTCTATGCCTGTGACATGAGAAGTCTCATAGAGCTGACATCCCATGCTAACTTCTTACTGCTGGTTACAGACTGGGAGTGTTGCAGGGGTCAGTTGAGCTTCCTTCCCGGTAGGTTTAGTCACCCTCTCTGGCTTTGGCTACTAATTCTAAGGACATTGAGAATCCCAGTCCACTGAAAACACGGAGATTTGAAACAGGCTGACTTCACTCCCTAAGGGATCACTCTGATGACTGCAGAGGGATGTTTCTTTTAATTAATGCATAGGGTTTGAGTGACAGAAATTTTAAGACCAGTGAAGCTCCTTTCTAGGGAATGCCTTTTGACACTCCCTGTCTTTCTCTCCCCTCCAGCAGAGAGAGCCTTCCTCAAGGCTGCGGTCCTGCAGTGTCACCGACGCGGTTGCAGAGCAGGCCCACCTACCACCGGTAACCCATGCTTATTTCCAGTCACCAGCTGGCTTTTGGGCTCTGATTTGAAATCTTGGCTCCTAAGAAAGAGTTTTTCCTGTGCAGATCCATTCACCATGTCAATGTGACACTTTGAAACTTGCCTCGCAAATTGCCCAAGGAGAGGGTGGGTCTCGAACACACAGACTTGGTATTGCCACCCAGGTCAGCAAAATGCTTAAAACTTCGCTGCTTTGGTTTTCACCCCAGTTTACACCAATTCTGATGTGCTTCCTTGATGGAAAGTGCTTGGTACATTCATAATTCCTTCCACTTTGTGGAATGACTGTCACTGTCTCCAGCGAGCGGAACCCTGCAGACTCACCAACCCCTTAAAACAGGAAGAACTCTTCTGGGTAGTCACATGCTCCTTTGCATCCCTGTGGCCTCAACTCTAAACTCCACAAAGACGCCTGCTCTCTTTAAAGGCAGAGAATTGGCAATAGTTTGTACTCACTGCCCCACAGTTTAGTAACTATCAGCAAACAGAAGTGGCAGAGGGTTAGCAACATCCAGGGTATGTAACGATTAAATATTCCAATTGGAAGACGGGTCAGCATTGCCTTGGGAAGTGTGGGGCACACACATTACAAATGAGAGATTTTATGCAAACTTCTCTCCTGTTTTGGAGGTGAAAATATTATGCAGTTTTACACTTTTGATTTGGCATTTTGACCTTGACTTTTTTTTATTGCCCCACATCTGATTATTTTCTGACATACTTCATTATGTATGAATTTGAGGGGGGAAAAAAAGCACATTTAAAGTTTTTGAAATCGGTGTCTTCCCAACGTGTCCATTTTTACTTGGCTTCAAAGGATATTTTGGCCTAGGTTTTAGTTTTTTGTTTAAAAAATTATGAACTAATGAGTATATTAGTCAAGATAATTGATTCAGTTGTGAGCTACATAGAGTTGACTGGTTTATAACAAGCTTGATGAGAGCATCTTTGCGGGAGGGGTTCGGTATGGGTCCCCAAAAGAGAACAATCAGCTGTGATGAAAGGGGTCCTCCTCAGCCTGACGATCCTGTGATTTTCCTTGATGAATTAATGGCACTTTCTCTCCTTTTCAAAATCAATGTCAATTTAATTTGCCAAAGAGCTCGCTTTCCTGGAGATTGGTGGTTCCTCCCGCTTGTGCTGTGAACTCACTGATCACCAGCGGCCTCCACCTGAGTGTTGAGTTTTTCAGATTTAGGAATCTGCTCAGTCCTGGACAGTGAGAGCAAAGCAGACTGGCTTCCATTTTTCCTTTCTTAGCCATCTCATTTTGTTGAGGTTGGCGTTGTTCACCAGACCAGGGCTCCAGCCTGAGCCTCCCTGGGCAGCAAGGGGTGGGGGGTTCCTCTGGCTGCTGGTGGTCAGCGACTGCTCAGCTTCATTTGGCCTGAGCTGGTGTCAGGGATTCTGCTCTCTTGTCACCTGCCTTCCAACGCTGTCACAGCCATAATCCCCAGCTCACTATGCAATGGGTCATCCCCTGAGTGCACTTCACTGATGTCAATTATCATTTAACAGCCCAATACCCCAACTAGGAGAGCACGGTCGTCCACAGTCTCGGGTGGTGAGGAGCCAACGGTAATGACACATTTTATCAGACATTAATTGCAGAGGTCTGATGGGGCGGTTTCATATTTTGATTAATGTTGAATATGCTGTCACTTTTTAACAAATAAGATCAGCTCCATTGTGCTACAGAGATGCACATGTTTTTTTTTTTTTTATTTTGAACTTCCCCTTTTTGGGGAAAGTGGAATGACTTTTGGCTCCATTAAATGTATTAGGAATACCATCGAGCTTTGGTTAAATGTGTTTAATTTGACTATTTCGAGTATAGTTTTGCCTTCTAGTGTTTGTACTCCTGATGAGCTTTTGCTTGTTGGAATGCTGGGTTAAAGTAATTTCATTGGAAGATAATCAGAGAAGCCATAGGAAATGCATGAGTTTGTACATGTGTGTCCTAATAGTGCACTGGGCTACATTCTCTGCATTTCCCATATCACATTTTTGTTTGTTTTTAACAGGGGGCCAGACTTTCTGTGCTTCCATCATGAGCTAGTGTCCTTTCTCTGCCCCAGAGACTTGACTCACAGGAGAATGGACAGGTTCATATAATTCCCAGGGCAGTGAGCATTCCCATTTTATCCCGCCTATAAAGACTTAACTTGAGCAACAAATATACTGTTTATGGTAACTTGGAAATAATTACTATGTTCACAGAATGAAAAACTTGGGACTTAATGAGTTAAGATGTTTAAACGATCTAGAAAATTTGGTGCTACCTGAAGCCATTTACCTACTATTCTTCTTATTCGTTATTTTGAATATCTTATGCTATTCATGTTTGGGGGTAACTTTATTTTGGGTATTTTAATTGTCTCTGCTCTACTTGATCCTTAAAGTCAGATTAGCATTGAGTTTGTGCTTTGAGATGCAGTAGCTACTTGAAGAATTTGCCTTATTGTTTCACCTGTATTGTTTTTGCTGTAACTGCTCATTAGTGTTGAATAACTTTACGTATAAAATAGCTGATTTTCTGAAGGATGTTGGTAATTTACAAAAGTGATTTAGGTATATTGTTAGATTCAAGTGCTCAACGTTGTACAAGAGAAAATCAAATTGACATTCAGTAACAGTCAGCATGATTGACAATATTGAGCTGCATTGGCTTCAATGAAAGTCATGCATTGGGTGATCCAGGCTTAGGTTCCAGGAGGCTTCAAAGAATTCTACAGGAGCTCGCTTAGTTCCACTGTATGCTGGCATTGTCTGTGGGAGTAGTGGAGCTAGAGGTAAACAGATCATTCCATGAGATGATTTTAGTACCTCACTCTGCGCATGGTCAGTGTGTCATCCATTTTTGCATTTTATTGGCCTTGCAACCTGTTTTTGTCTTGGCATATTGTGCCAGCTGATGATCGTAAATGGCAGAATAAACTGGATTAGTGTAGTGCCAGGCTCCGTGATCCGAGTCCCCTGGCAGGACAAGGTGATCCATCTGAAAGAGATTCCATCCGACTCCAAAAACTTCCCTTTTCCTGACTTCTTGCCTGTGTTCTCCTTTTCCTCATCCAGAATTAAAATATGGGTTTGGGTTGGGTATTGATTTTTAGAAGACTTGAGCAAAATAATCCCTCCATGTGTCATTCATGCTGTGCTTTCTCCATACCTCGAGAAACTTGGAAGGAACCTTCCAGATCTAACCCCACCACTTCCCTTCCACCCCACCATCCTTTGTTCTGTCTGCCCTGGATGTCCTGTACCCCAGTTGTCTCCTAACATGGTTTCTGCCTCATGAACCCCCTTTCCTGCCCCTCTGCACATTGTCCTACACTGAAGTGTGTGCCCAGGCTGGAGCTCCCTGGGGTGGGCTACCTTGCTCCTTCCTCTGGGCTTTCCCATGTACACACCCATGCTGTTTTCTTTTAGAAAAGTAAATTGTCATATACATAATGCTCAACAAATTGGTTCTTTTTTACTTACGGTCATCCTTCTGGGACATGTTAATAATCACTTAATATTCAGTGATGTGAGTGTAGCTCACTTTGTATAAATTTTCCACACTGAAGGGTATTTAGGCTCATATACCTGATTCTCACCTAAGCAACCATAGCCCTTTGATGTGTGGCAAGTAAATGCACACTGGTGTCACTTTCTGGCTGGCTAAGCCAGAGCCCTCCCTTTGAGATACCAGGAGAGGAACAACACAGTCCTTTGATCTTTACTGTGCAGATTCTAAAATTACACTAACATACTGCTCTGGCAGGATTCGAGCCAGTCTTGGAGAATCTGTGGTGGTCAGTATCAAAGTGGTTATTTACAAAACCATATTGATACTTGTTCAGTTTAAAACATGATCGAGTTCATCATTTTAATGAAAGAAACAGAGCTGTTGTAAAGCAGGAGTTGGTGGATGTTTGGCATCATACAACACAGAGATAAATCCAGTCTACAAGTAAAAAGCTGTGAGATGGTAAATATACTAAGCCACAGGTTGGGGGGGGGGGTTGTTGTTTTTGTATTTTTGATAACCCACCTCGTTTCCCGAGGTGGTCTGGAGCATGCTGTATGCACACAGCAGTATTAGAAGTCTGGATGGCCCCAAGGCTGGGGCTGTTCCCAGGATGTACTAGCCGTGTGCATCCAGGCAGTGTTTTGAGTCACAAATGGACTCCTCAGCACAGACTGTTCTACATGCTCATTTGGAGAGGACACAGTAAAGAAACATTTTAATAACACCCTCTCACATAAATGCCACTAAATTGCAGATCACCAGTTCAATTCTCAATAGAAGGTACAATGGACATTTTAATCAAATTCAGTGTTCTCTCTCGACTACTCTGCAGTTTTCCATAAACTGGTTAGTACTGTTAATTGCACTATCGGTGAAAATGACCTAGTCCCTGGAAATTCGAACAGCTTAGACTTCAGTTCTGAGATTACCCACAGCACAGCCAAGTTTTTGCAACTTATCAGTCACCTCATAAGTATGGTTTCCAGGGACACTCAATTGTTCTAGTAGTCTGAAGATTTTCTGGAACTGAGTTTTCTGAGAGCAGAATTGCCTCCCCCCAAAAAGTAACACAGCAGGTAATCCTGGTGACTCAAGAGGCTGAGGCAGGGAGGATCCCAGTTTTGAGGCCAGCCTCAGCAAGTTAGTGAGGCCCTAAGCAACTTAGACCCAGTCTCAAAAGTTTTAGAAAATAAAATAAAAAGGACTAGGGTGGAGCTCAGTGGTAAGCCCCCTGGGTTCAATCCCTAGTACTAAAAAAAGGACCAAAAAACAGACTCCACTTAGTATTTCATTTAGTCAGAGGCATTTTGAATATATAAATCATTGTAAGTCAGAATATGGTAGCATGCACTTTGCCAAAAATACTGATTGGCTGCTAAGAGTAGGTTTTTATCATTGCCTCAAATAAAGGTAGCCTAGAACTAGTGCTTTGTGTTAGTGTCCAGCTGGAGAAGGAAGAACAGGCAGCTCTGCTCAGGCTGTGGGTTAATCTGTCTAGTCATGAGAGGACTGAAGTCTGCAAGTTGAGGTTTCTTCTGCTCCTGTCGAATCTCTCCCCACCTGGATCCAGGTGGTCATCTTGGAATTATTTTATGACACCTTTAGGATTTACCAAAAAAAAAAAAAAAGTCAAGGAAATGGTCGCTGCATTTTTAGCAGGATGATAATCTTGCCTTGCTGGGTCAGCAGTAACTACTGAGTCTGTTGCTTCCCAGTTAATTGTGCAGTTGCTGTTTCTCCAGAGTGTGCTGTTAAGCTTATGAAGTGGCCTCCAGAGCCTCTTCGGATGCAGCCCTGAGTACCTGCAGGGGACTTGCTTGTGCTTTTCTGGGGTCCACTGAGGGGCCCTGTGACCATGACCTTCTTTGACTACTCAGGTTGTTAGTAGTGAACAGAAATGGTGGTATAAAGACAGGAAGGTTGTAGGGTCAACAGATCTACATCCTCCACCTCGTTAAAAAAAAAAAAAGTAAACCTGGTGAGACACCTGGAAGCTCAGAGAAGCTACCCTAACTAGGAAAGGTAACACCCAGGGCAGCAGCAGTCTCACAGAACAGGTCACTCCTAGTTGTTGGACCTGGTTCCTTCTCCCAGGAGCCTGGGGGCTCTGGCTGCCCTCCTGTTTCTGAGCACTTGTCTATAGGTGCCAGTCTAGGATGTGCCCTTCCCAGGACAGCTCTCACCCCACACATCCAATGACCTCATGAGTCCCTGACCCATCCTTGCTCCTCTGGTGTTCCTGCATCCAGACTTCCTTTCTTGGACTGCTTCTTAGAAACAAAAGTCTCTTTCTGCAATCTAGCTTGGGTTAGCCAAATGTAGTCAGTCTATCTGGAGACTGCCCATTGTTCATTGGCCAGTTAAAGGGACACACTCCTTATCGGTGTACTGAGTAGGAGTGGCCTCAGTTTATGAGGCTCCTTGGGATTCTTCTGTCTGGTGACAGAGGACCTCCCCAGCTGAGTCATGCAGGTGTACCTGTGCTCCTTAGATGCCACCATGGGAGTCTGTATTGGACTTTTATTCTGCCCCAGATGCTATCATGTACAGGGCCTCAGTAGCTGGAAGAACCCAGGACTGCACTGGAGGAGCACCCCTGTGCCACTTGTGTGGAACAGCAGTGTCCAGGAGTGTTGAGTAGCTTGAATGCCTTTCAGCTGTACATGGTTTGACAGACAGTGAAGTTTAGTAACTAGAACAGATTATAGTGTCTTTCTCTTTCCTAAAAACAGTCACCTTAGCAACAGGTGAGACCTCAGGGTCAGAAAGTTGAGTCTGAGAATGTGGAGCCCCTTCACCCAGCTGTGTGGGGTTCCTCTCACAGTGGATTTGAAGCTCTTAAAAAGCTATCATTGTCTTTCAGATACTCTTTGGAATGTTTTCTGTGCAAATAAAATTAACTTGTCCAGAAAGTAGAATCATCTGGTTATGTGTTACTTTATTAAAACTGATCAGAATACAAATGCTAGTTGTTAAATAATAACGATTTCTTGCACAAACAGCCATCAGTGGCCTATGTACATACCACGCCGGGCCTACCTTCAGGCTGGGAAGAAAGAAAAGATGCTAAGGGACGCACATACTATGTCAATCATAACAATCGAACCACAACTTGGACGCGACCAATCATGCAGGTATGAAGATCGCCATCCAACCTAAACGCAGGCCCAGGCCGTAACAAACAGGACACACATCACCCACGTCCTCTCCCAGTGTTTATGTATTGCTCTGAAGACGTTGTTTACAAAAAAAAAAAAGGTCTCAGAAAAGACATGCATTACTTTAATTACTTTGGTATAGCATTTGCCTAAGGAAGACTTTGGTCCTCAAATTACTCTGTCCTTGGATATATTTTTTAAATGTACCATGAAAGGTATTTTCAAAATCAGCCTGATGCAGCCCTACCCTGCGCCCCCTTCTTCTGAGGCTAGTTTTTATGGGGGCCAGTGATTCATTTTTATTCCCCTTGAATGTGTTTCCCCATCCTTTCCCCCATTATTATGTTTAATTATTTCCTCATGCTTGAACTAGGCCAACCCTCTTATTATTGCTGTGTGGTGGTGTTTGGGTTCACGCTTCTAGTCACACGCAGGGAGATCCTCATATGAAGCTAACTTGTTTTTGCCTCCAAAATAGCTTGCAGAAGATGGTGCCTCCGGATCAGCCACAAACAGTAACAACCACCTAATCGAGCCTCAGATCCGCCGGCCTCGTAGCCTCAGTTCGCCAACTGTAACTTTATCTGCCCCACTGGAGGTGAGAAGGCTCCCTCGTCTAACTGGGGTCATCTCTGTCCTGTGGCTTCTCCTCATCTCTCTTCTCTCTCAACGCGGACTTCAGTTTTGCAGCCTCCTCCTGATGAGTCGTGTGTCCCGGGGATGTCCTTGTGTAGCCTCCCCACATGCTTCTCCGTCTCACCCAGTTAACATCCAGGCCTTGCACGGTCCTCATCCTCATCTGGCTGACGCCGTGCGTGGTAACTTGTGCTGGATGTGGCCCCTCTTCTCAGAACTTCTTTCATTCTTGTTGTGTTTTGCTCCTTATTGCCTGTTACCGCATTAGAACTGCATAATAACTCTCTCAAGTACCAGTGCTTATATTGAGTTTCGAAACATAGCTCTTGCTTTGATCATTTTTTCCTTTGACTGTAGGGTCTCTCATGGGATGGGCATTCGTGTCTCTGATGCACATCTGCCCTCTGAGTCATTGCTGGACATCTGCTTTGCGCTCTCCTGTTTGTGTTGTTTAGTGCCATCCCTGGATGTCACAAATGTCAGAGTTAGAAAAGCCAGAGAGGAAACATTTGAGGTTCTAAACTTGACCGTGGGTTGGTTTCTTCTTTCTCTGGGTCGGGCTGCTGCTAGGTGGGAAAGGGTGACAGCTCTTCCTGGCTCTGACGCAAACATGGCTAACAACTAACTCTGTCATTCCAGGCGGTTGTCTCCGTTGGTGGAGGTTTTTTCTTCTGTGCTTTAAAATCTGCCAATCTGTTCTTTGGTTAGACTGTGAGCTCGTTGAGAGCAGGGGCATAGTTTTCTCCATTCTCTGTAAATTCTCCATCCATAAGGCGTAATATAAAAGAGTATTTTTGATACTTACCAAGTGATTGCTGAAGAATGATGGTTATGAGTATTTAATATTGTTGTGTGTTTAACCAACAATTTTAAAAAAGTGTAAAGAAAAACAAAGTATAAAGTTAGGTGGATGTAATAGTAAGTAAATGAAGAAACAGGGTTTCCAGGAGCTTTCCCCTTGTCCGTGTCCAAGGAGGAGCATTCTGCAAGCCCTGGGTGCATTTGACGCACTGACACACTGGAATGGCGCACGGTCAAGAGTTCTAATGCTCATTATTATTCCTTAGGGTGCCAAGGATTCGCCCATTCGCCGGGCTGTGAAAGATACCCTTTCCAATCCACAGTCCCCACAGCCATCACCTTACAACTCCCCCAAACCACAACACAAAGTCACACAGAGCTTCCTGCCACCGGGCTGGGAAATGAGGATAGCTCCCAACGGCCGGCCCTTCTTCATTGACCATAACACAAAGACTACGACATGGGTAAGGCTCTGCTTTTCTTGGGCTCCGTGTTCATCGTGAGTTCTGGCATTGATTCTCTGCTCAGCACTCGAAGCTCTTGGGAGTTTGCCAGACTCCAAAGCATGTCTCCCGAGGGTCTCCTGGCCCGCGTCTGTGCTGCAGGTCTGGGCTGGCGGGCAGAGAGGGTCTGAGCACAGATGCCAGCTGCAGGGTATTGCTGTCGGGTTGGCCTGCCTGTCCTCACAGCACACTGGGGACATGGCCAGTATAGTTAGATATGTGGCCACATTTGGAATAAATGTGTTCCATATTGCTAGGGTTTTTTTGTTGTTGTTGTTTTGGTACTTCATCACACCTCCTACAAATTATTTAAAAATACTTTTTCTTTGTCAGATTTCTTTTGAAACTTTATTGACATTACCCCACCTTTCCTGTCCTATGGCTTTAGTTTTTAGTGTTTATGTCACATCAGTATTTTGCATCTCATGCATTGAATGACTTGGTTGTAAATCTGATCACTCTCTTCAGTAAACGTTTTGTCATAATCGATTTTTCTTACCATGTTGTTATCTCATTGTGCTCCTGGATCATTTGTGAGAAAGAACTTGAGTGACGTAGTATGCAAATGTGAATGTGCACCTCTTCATATTCCTCTCTCACTTCATTTCTTTTGCTGAATCCGTGGTGGCTTTTTCAAGGCAGGCTGTGGTGGTTCTTAGAAGTGGCTGGTGTTTTTCTACTATATAATCTATAGACCTCTAAGTCAACTGAAATGTGTTCTTTCATCTCTGGGTTTTGATGCTGCAGGAGGTGCGTATTGCCTCCTGCCCCCTGTCCCTGGTCGTCTGAGTAGAGTCCCTTCCCAGACTCCCTTGGTCCTTGCATCGTTTGTGCTGCTTGCTTAGGACTGATGTTTTGTGAAAGCTGGTTGAGTTTGGAGATTGTCTCTGGTTCCAGCTCTTCAGCCTTGGATCTGCTTTGGATTCCTTTCCCTAGTGGTCCACACCAATACGTCCAGTTGGGAGAGCAGCAGTATAACGTTAAGGAAAAGGCGTCGACCAAGGTGACCTGGACTGTCATTTGTACTTGGTGTGTGGTGTGATGTTAATCCAGTCCTTAAGGACTGGTCTTGAGGGCGCTCCCTACAGTCATGCAGAGTGGTGCAGTATGTCCCTGTGAGGGCATTCTTGGCACCGAGGCAGGCCTGGGCCTTCTGCTGTGAGATGTCTAACATCCTTGGCTCCTGACACTGAGAGCTAATAGCTGCCATCACCCACCCCCGAAATACTGATAACTAAAAATGCCCCACACATTTCCAAACAGTCTTCAGTGAGAGCCGCTCTTACAGCTCTTGCTATTTTGCAGTAAGGGAATTTACTCACCTGCCAAGAGCACTTATCATTGAGATCTGATGACATTCAATTGGTAAACTGATAACTGCGTCTAAGGCATATAATGACACACAGTTTTGTTTGACTCACCTTTTAGTCTAAAGATAGTATTACAGGTTTGTGGGCCAGATGAGAATAAGAGACAGGCAGCTCTTTGGAAAACAGACTAGTAAAGATTGGATTTGGGTCTTTTTTGTCATTGACACAGAACCCTGGCTATCTGCTGGTGTTCCCATTTCCTATAGTGCTTCTATAATTTCAAATCCGTGGCCAGAAATTGGAGCTCCAGAATCGGGGGGGTAAATATTATAAAAGCAGATGGATCCGTGTATGGAGCCACTGTGACTTGCCAACATAAGCTATGATTTTAGTAATTTGAACTAGCTTAGTAATCAAATCCCCTAACCTTTTCACAGCCTTTCACGCCACAACTGCAGTGTAATTGCAGCCGGGCAGATTTTATTTTAAATAGTACTATCCTTATTTATTGCTGCCACCATTGCTGAATGAAGCCCAGTTTTAATTTCCAGTTGCCCCTTTTTACCCAGATAACTGTTATTGACTAATTTACTCATTTAAAATTTTAATTTGATAGAACAACATTTTGTCACAGATGCTGCTGTTAAAAATCCTTAAGGGGACAACTGGACATCCCTCAAGTTGCCACCTTCTTCCCTAAACCCAGGTGTGCTGACCCGGCTGCATTATCTCTAGTCTCAGTATAGAAGATGCACTCGGAGTGCCATGTCTATTTTAACAAATTACAGAGGGGCAGGGAACAGTAAAGATGATTTTCTGACTTAAAATTTGGTTTGTTTACTTTCTGAAAGAATAAATAGGAGGACAGTGCAGCCCTCCTTAGATTTGACCATTAGGATAGGAAAAGGAAAAAAATCTGGTAGGACAGTTGATAATAATGAAAATAGTACTCCTCCCCCCTTTAGCCCGGGAACTTCGGATTCTGGTGCTAACCAGAAGCAGCAGAAGATCCAGGCCCATGCTTCCCCGGGTGCACCTCAGGTGTTTTATGACAGCCATTCCTAGACACGAATGATGAAGGTAGCCTGCTGACAGTCCATTTGGAATATGCGTAACTATTTTAAAAGGAAACAGAAAATACAGGAAAGAATAGCCTTGTCTCCACCTGGGTCAGGTAGCAAGGAGTGCATGCTAAAGGCTGTTAAGTGGCGGATGGCAGCCCAGGAGGCCTCACCTGGTGTTCTCTGCTAAGGGAACAGCTCAAAGAGTGTCTGAGTACAAAAGGATGTCCATGCCTCTCACGGCACAAAGCACCAGCTTGTTTTTGTAACAAGAAAGATTACACCTTAGTTAAGTTTCAGCTTTGTTTTCTTTCCAAGTTCAAACAAATAAAATTGATTGTAGCCTAGGCATGGTCTCTTCCAGGAAGGAAAGAAGGAAAAACACAGCTGTTTTTTTGAACTGACCAGGACTCCCATCTCTTATATTTTTAAGACTTAGGGAAACCCTGATTTAAGAGAAGATGCTGAACCTTTGCATTCCATTTAAAAACACTTTCAATTGAATTGAAGAAGCAATTCACGCATGAAAGAGATCCCTGACTACCAAGGAGAGGGATGAACAGCCCATGTGTCTGCATATTTGATTCATTTGTATTCTTATCATTCGAGACCTCATTAGCCTTCCACCTTCCTGTCATCTCTGAAGCTGTCCCTACTGACCCTAGGCCTCAGTGGGAGAGCAGCTTTGTGATGATCTCCAGACAGCCTCAGAATTTGATCACTGGCAGCTACTACCATTATTTTGATTATTGGGGAAATAATATGACCCCTCTGGCCCTCACGTCCCAAGAAGTCTGGGTTTCCATGTGATGCCAGTTTAGCAGACTGTGAAGCTAAGCTTATATTACACTTCTTGCTCCACTCCAGTCCCCACACCAACTGGAATTTGCTTTAATCTCGGCTTCTATTTTTTTTTATTTTTATTTTTTTTATTTTTTATTGTTGGTTGTTCAAAACATTACATATTTCTTGATATATCATATTTCACACTTTGATTCAAGTGGGTTATGAACTCCCATTTTGCTAAGTGAAGCTAGCCAATCCCTAAAAAACAAATGCCAAATGTCTTCTTTGATATAAGGAGAGTAACTAAGATCAGAGTAGGGACGAAGAGCAGGAGAAGAAGATTAACATTAAACAGGGATGAGAGGTGGGAGGGAAAGGGAGAGAGAAGGGAAATTGCATAATCTCGGCTTCTTTCTCCCTTTCTCTAAACTACCAGCCAGTTGTCTTGCACACTTGACTTCATGTGATTGGAAGGTGTGACTGGCCTTGGTACAGCATGCAGAAGCCCTACCTCCTGTGTGTAAGAGTCTGGCTCTACACCTGGCATGGTCATTGGCTACATGGGCACCCAAGAGTCCTTGGAAGCTGTGACTTTACCCAGTTGGGCAGCTTTGGTGGAGTCCTATGCTTTAAGTTTTTCCTCTGTCTGCAATTAACTAGTCACATAATTTTACCAGATTACCAGCTTCTTGGACCTTCTAAATCCCAAATCTGTTTAGTATATATGTTTATTCTGCCTGCATTCAAGTATGCTGTAGAATACTGGATTTTGTGTCATTTCTTAGTCTTTAAATATATATATATATATATATGATTCAGGGTCAGCATTCATTACAAATGAAATAAATCATTAAAAGATTGGTTCCTCAATTAGAAGTTTGCTATAGTTGACAGAAAGCAATGGTTCGTTTTATTTTCTGTGAACTCTTGATTCTTACCAGTTCCCAAATCTGTCATTTGGTTACAATCCTGGGATAATATAACTTATTGTTGGCTCAGAAAACTGTTGAAGCAGAAAACCTTTTTAATAATTTGACAGCAGCAAATGCTTTGATAAAATTGAATGAATCTAATGTCAAATGTCTCAGAAATTTGATTTTTAATCCTGAGCTGATAATGTGTTATTCTGATTGACACTGCATTATTTTGGGTTTTAGCGTTCGTTTTCTAATCGTCTGAATTTAAAGACATGGATCCTCAACTGAGCGTGGTGGCGCATTAGTTAATCCCAGTGATTTAGGAGGCTGAGGAGGGAAGATCCCAAGTTTAAGGTTATCTCCAGCAACCTAGCAAGACCCTGTCTCAAAATACAAATGGCTGGGAATGAAACTCGGTTATAAAGAGCCCCTGGGTTCAATCCCCAGTACCACCCTCCCCACCAAAAAAGACATGGATTCTCTGAGTTACATCACATTTTAAGTGGTCTATGCATGTATCGTCTTTTGATCAGGCAGTCCCCAGACTGTTTTTTTGAACTAACCAGGACTCTGATCTCTTATATTTTTAAGACTTGGGGAAACCCTGATTTAAGAGAAGATGCTGAACCTTCGCATTCCATTTAAAAACACTTTCAATTGAATTGAAGAAGCAATTCACACATGAATTTGTGCAAGTCAGTGTTCTAACACTCAGTTTCCTTACTTCAAGAAACAATAGACCCTGCACCAGCCTCCTAACCAGGGGTGCTACAACATGGTGCATCTCGCTATTCTTTGTAGATCATGGCTCAAGTTTTAGAGTCTACATTTCTTTTCTGTGGTATCTCATGAAACATATCCCTTAAGAAAAATCTCTTGTAAGCTTTTATACTAAAGCATGAATGAGAATCCAATCAGGAGAACTCAGTTGGGAATCTGGGTAAAGTTCCAAAGCGAGGGTCCTATGATTTCACCGGATGAAACGGACTGTCTCTGGAATAGCCACAGGACTTCCCATCAGACCAGATTCGGAATCTATATAGCTCAGGAAGGAGTGGAGGGTGCCAGGCCCACAGGACTGCTGTTCCTCCCACATCAGGGTCCACAGGGACATCCACAGCCCTTGTCCTGCCCCCTCTCTGAAGTGGCGCCATGTCACCAATGGCTCCCTCCACTCTGATTTCCAAGGTAAATCACTGCTGCAAGCCTTCCCCCTCAGCTTCTCAAAGTCTTGGGATATAGTTAACCTTTCATTTAAATGTTCTTACTCTCCTTTCACCAAGCACAAGGAGGAAGAGTAGAATCTCATTTGGGAGCTGGTCAGCCAGGCTTCCTGTGCAGAGCAGAGAGCTGGGATCCTTCTGTGGCCCACGCACAGGCAACCTGGTCGATTTGGAATGCCCAATTCAAGAAAAGGAGAGCTGGTAACTACACCAGGGAGTCCCTCTTAACACGGCCCACCCTTTACATTTTTCCTGCAGGAAGATCCACGCCTGAAGTTTCCAGTACACATGCGGTCAAAGGCATCGTTAAACCCCAATGACCTCGGCCCTCTTCCTGTAAGTACATTGGAGGCTCATGGAACAGTCTGAGACTGTTCTTCATTTATCCATCCAGTGTGGATGAAGAAAGGTCCTGAGAGCATCTCCTTCTCCGTACACCCTGGGTCCCATCAGCCTGCATGTCTGAATAGGATTGGGTGTTTGGTGGGTTTCTATTAGTGCATTCCAGGTATGTGTTCAGTAGTTGGGAAAGAAGTTTCTGAATTGCCAGCCACTAGTGGCAGATAGACTGTAAACTAAAGTATGCAAGAAGCATTCAGTACAGGTGACAGTTTAGGCAGCTTGCATTTATTTTACAACGTAGCAGCCTGTGAGTTCCACCCATATTTCTATTTTAGCTAATGGGGAATAAAATGAAAATGGTGTGAGAGAAAAAGGCATAAACCATCTCAGGAAGTTTGTATGTGTCATTTAACCTACAGATATTTCAAGTTTTTTCTTCCTTGTTGGTGACTGTTCACACGTCTAATTTTTTAAGTTCTCTTTGAGGGAGTGGAGCCCTTTGGTCCAGAGGGGAATCCGAGTAAATCTTTCCCATGCATCCTCCTCAGCAACCTGCCCTGACAAAGCTTGGAGTGGGGGCAGGCTCGAAGGCTAAGACTGCTTTCTTTTAAAGGGGATTTTTCTTAACTATTGTTTTCCAAGCATTAAGAAACTTCCCGCTACCTGATGGAGCAAAGTTTGAAGCTACAAAAGTTGGCATTCAGTCTGTTTTCAGTACTATCAATATCCCTCCCCGTTCACGTCTACTTAGTTCCTGGGTTCAGAGACAAAGAGGCTGGAAAATGTTTGGAAGGTACATTGTCAGAATCTGTTGGATTCCAGAGTTTCAGATAGGAAATCAGGACAGATGGAAGGATGAGCACTTACCAGCCTCATCTTAAACAGTATCCAAATCGTCTAGCTCCTGAGTTTGAATAAGGAGAGTTCACAGCCGAGGACACAACCTCTTAATAACATGAATGAAGTCACCGTGTCTAATGTGTTTATATTAGCCCTCCCTTTCCCTCCCTGTACTACTCAGTATTTATTTAACCAAATGAGCTCTTCCAGCCCAACTCTCCCATGGCATGCTGATGCTTCCCCTTAGAGCTTTCAAGATTCCCGCCCCCCACCCACCCCCGAACCAAGGAATCTGAGATGGTTGAACATGTGCATATTGCTAGAGGTCAGGAGTTTACCTGAAATGTTTATATTTTATTTATTCTCGGTGTAAAGATGTATCCAAGAAGAGAAGGGTAAGAAAGGGTTCTATGGTTTTCCAATGTTGCCTCTGTATTTGGAGTCGCTGATTGACGTTTGTATTCTCTCCCTGCCCCCCCACCGTCCTTCCCTGGATGCTAGCCTGGTTGGGAAGAAAGAATTCACCTGGATGGACGGACGTTTTACATTGATCATAGTAAGTCGGGGCTACCCTGGGCGCACAGGTGTTGCTGGGGAAGGGGAGGGGGGAGGGTAATTCAAATGTGATAGTGAAAGCTTTGTCGTTTTGCTTTGTCCAGACAGCCAGGTGTTATGTGGAGAGAATGACCCCCGAGACTCAGTGCCCTCGTACGGTACTGTGCCTTCACCCCAAGTTTGCTTTAAAGTAGCTCCTCAAGCTTTCACCCAATTTGATCTTGCCCCCATTAACTTTTTTTTTTTAATTAAAAAATTTTCTTTTTGGTTGATGATCCCTTGACATTTGCGCTTTATTTAATATATACACTCTGGAAATAGAAAATAAGATTAGAAGCTGATTTAGTCAAAACAAAAGTGTGTATGAACAGTGCTTTAAGCTGCATCCAAGTTCTCTAAACCCTGCCTTCAGAGGCCCATGGCAAGATGCCTTTTCTGACCTTATTTTCTATTCGCGGCATGTTTTCCCCGCTCCCACCACACTAATACATGTGCAGCTGTTTTCCCGAAATCGTAGATTTGCTGAAGACACTTGCTTCAGCACTTATGGATAAGTGTGTGGTTTCTCATTTCAACTAAAAGTTACACTAATAAATGTTTGCTTTTAGCCAGTGGGGTATTTATTTATTTTATTTTGAGGTGACATGTTTTTCTTGGGATCATACTGATATAGCCCTTATACTTTCTGAAAAAAGTTATTTTAAAAAAGAAGACTTCAAATAGATCTCAAGTTCAAGTCGTGTATGCAATCTAGGAGTATGTGAGGGTTCTGTTTTCATGTAACTCGTAAACAGGAAGTCTGTGCCAGTTTTTCTTTTTCTTTTAGTTGTAAATAGACAAAATACTTTATTAATTTTCTGTGTGTGGTTGCTAAGGATCAAACCCAGTGCCTCACATGTGCTAGGCAAGCGCTCTACCACTGAGCTACAACCCCAGCCGCTGTGCCAGGTTTTCATCAGAAAGCAAAGGTGCATGGTTGAGCTACTTGCTGAGAAGTGTGGTCATGAGGAATCCTCATACATGTAGGACCTGTTACACTCTGACCAGCCTGGTACCTCTCGCAGATGTTACTAGGAGACTGAGTGCATTACATGCAGAACTTTGTTTTCAGGGACGAGGGTTTGAGGGGTTAGAAATTGAATTAAGAAAGGGCCCCTCGATTCAGAATTAAACCAAAAGTAGTCTTACCTGTATTTAGAGGGGTAAGCTACCCTTGGGTTTAAATCATATTTCAGCACACACATAGGTTAGTTCTTTCAGTCTTTGATCAGGAAAAACATACTGAATTACATACTTTGCAGATTTTCACAGGGATCATAAATTTACTACAAGAAATGTTTTAAAATGTATGTGCATACCCCAATTTTCCGCTCAATACAACATTTATTTATAATTCTAAGAATTCGCTAAAGCAGGGAAGAGGTCACATCTCTCTTCCTATTAAAAACAAAAAGCAGTTACCTTTTAAGTGTTTTATGCATTATAATTTCAATTTTCAAAGAAATATTGACCATTTTATTAAAACTAGGTCTTCAGTGGTAACAGCCTTGCTCTGTGACCCACAGAGAGCATTTCACACATTAAGGCATGTCCTGGCTTAGGTGACCTGGAAAGAGCTTAAGAGAATGTTCCTAAGCACCCCCAGGAGTTGGAAGCAGGAATAGCACTACCACAAAGGGCCATGCTCATGTACCTTAGAACCAAAACCTCAGCCTATTTTCCCAAGGGCACACTTAGGCCTTGTATATTCAGGTGCTTAATCAGTGGTGACTTGAAGTCAGGTTTGTGGAAGGTCAGAGGTGAAGGTCTCGGGAAGTTGCCATCCATGGGCATGCTTGTGGCTGGCCGCACCTGCCTGGCTGCTCCTTACTGATGACCTGTCTGCTACTTGCTCCAGTGCTCCTCTCAGGCGCTCCTTGTCACTCCAAGGGAGGCTCCACTTCACTTCTGGGAATTGAGTGATGTGGTTAAGACCCTGCTCAGAGCCTGGTGGATCTGAGCTGTCCTAACATACTTGTGTTCAGGGGCTTGGATATTAAAATGTATTTTGCCTCTGCACAATATACTAAAAGTTGCTCTTAGAGCTAAACTTAGGTGACCAAAAACCATTTAAGAAAAAGGTGTGTTTAAAAGAATCCTGTTAACTTTTCATGCCACATTTCTGACAATGCTCCATAATTTGCTAAGATTCACTTAATGGAACATGATTCAAGGGAGGGACATGACGTTAAAACAGTTCAGTGTCATTTGCTTTTCTACCAAAATCTAGCCTGTGAGAATACAGAACCCCTACTTTTTTCAGAGGCCTTATCCAGTTGGTAGGAATTCTCCAAGCTGGGTTTAGTTAACATTTAGGAATTTCTTTACCCTCATAATGAAGCCTCTCTTTCCAGTTTTCTAACAAAATTTGGTTAATGTTATAATGCCTGCAGGACAGAAATAAGGTCCTTACATATGTTGTTTTACAGTGAAAGCAGTCGTTCAGAAGTTGTTCAGAGACATCCTGTCTTCCTGCAGAGCTGGATTGAGTAGAACATGAATGCGTTTGTCCTTTAAATAATTAGGTCATTTAATTTTTTTCCTGCTTTATAAATTTTTCTTGAGAACTTAGACATTTTCCAGATTCACAATATTCAACAAAGGACTAAATTTCAGAAGCAATGAATGCTCAGTACTGGTCTTCAGTTTAGACCCCTCGGTTCATTTGATTGATATCTTATCAAATAGTTCCTAACATCTGGAATGGAACCTCTAGCCCTCTTGGGAGGGATATTATTCTCAGGACCAGAATAATTGGCCAAGGTATCTTAAATACAAAAGTTAGAAAAGAAAATTCCAGTGATTCCTGTTTTGTTCTCACTTGCCAATAGTCTTACCAAACCAGTTAGTAGTAGCTAAATTGGCTGAGTTTTTCATCGTTCTGTTTCCTTTCTATCCTTTTATTTGAAATTTAATGTCTCAAAGGTAAAAGGCAAGTTTAGACTCAAAAGTTCTTTTAAACAAAAGCTTGGAGAACTGAACCCTTTGTTCGTATATTGACCACACTTAGCCACAAATTGATATTTATCATAACCACATGGGAACTTGGTTTGTTTTCACCACCAGCTTCGTTCAGTCATTACAGAGATCACACATGGAATCCCCTTTTACATGCTAGACCTCTGTTCAGTGGTGGAGAGGGGGCCTCAGAGATGAATAACCCAGCCCCTGCCCTCCAGGGGTGCATGTCCAGGGCATGTCTTAGGTGTACTGGTGAGGGTCTAGAGCAGTTGCTGTTTGAGTGCAGGTGGAGAGAGCTGGAGAGGGCCAGAGGGAATGGTTCCCTTTCAGACCGCTTCCTCCCATGGCGTGGGACTGAGCCTGGCATGGGGAAGAGCAGCAGTTCTAGGGGTGTGGCTATGGGCAGGTGTGCTGTGTTCAGAGAAGTGCAGTTTCTCCCACCTGCTGTGCACAGAGGAGACCCGTGTGACACCCAGCTCAAGTCAACAAGTGTCTGCCAGGTGTGGGGACTCGGGTTCATTCTGCAGGTGGTGGGGAGCTCCAGAGGGCTTTTCCAGAGGTTAGTGACAGTGGTCAGAGAACCAAGAGAATAGAAGCGTCAAAAAAAAAAAAAAACACCCCAGCAAGAATCCTTAAAGAGACAGTTCCGTTACCACCAGGAGGTAGGGGTGGGGACGTGGCCAGGTTCCTGGTGTGAACCACAGGCGGACTGCAAACCTGCTCTTAGGGAGCATAGGCTTATGTGGCAGTTCTGAGGATTGCTGATCTGTTCTTTTTGGGCAGAGGCGAGCAGAGGCCTCCTGGGGAGGCTGGGTATAATGCTGAGGATGGAGCTTGCTGCTCAGGTATGGCAGACGGTTCTGGTAATCCTCCTGTACTGGCAATAGCCGATTTATTTTTTGATTTTATGACAAAGTCTAGTCGAAACAGTTAAAATCCAAGTTGATGTTTTAAGGCCCCAACTCTGCTGAATGCTTTATTTGGTTTTCTTTTGTTTTCCATCACAATAGCAACTTTTCCTTTCCAAAGTCTTCTGCTTTCAAGGCAGGGGACACAAAAATGCCATTTTCTTCTAAAACCATTTAGACTCTTCATGCAAATTTTATGCCAGCGTGAAAGCAAAATAAGGATTCTAAAAGAGTCATGAGCTCTGGGAGCTTTTCTTTTAAAAAAAAAAAAAAAAAAACTTTACCTCTGCTTTTATTAAAATAACATCAGACTTTTAGAAATTCCTGGTACACTTTTTACAACTGAGTGCATTGGGAATAGTCCTGCCTCAGGGTAGGTGCACACAGGGTTCCACACCACTGCCACCCGCCTTGGACCAACTTATAGGACCCATCTTCCTCAGTCCTCCCCTTCCCTGCCCCTGCAGCATACACCAGGAATTCCTAAAGTCTTTAATTAGGCACAGTAGCAAATCCCAGCTGCTGTGTTCAGTCCCCTAGACCCAAGTAGTGCTGAAGGTAATGTAGACTCATTTGGAAGAAAGAAAAACCGCTCTGCCCATGTGGCCCAAAGGGACACTTCCTCTGGAGTCTTCCTGGGCTGCATCTAATACCCCTTTTTTGGACTGCCCTAGCTGCTTTGGTTTCTGTGTGCGTGTGAGTGACGCATGTAATGGATTGTATTTGTTCAATGCAGGATTCCTAATTGAACGCGGTTTTTCAATACCATAAGCAAATAAAACACTATTTGAAATGAGGGGGAAAAAATCGTGTGTGTGTTAACCTTCTGGGAAACTAAAACTTTTTATGCCTTTTTTTAATTAAATGAAAATCAAGATCAAGTTATAAATCCTTGAAAGAACAGGGGTTTATAATTGAAATTTCAGCAGATTGCTTGCCAAAAACAATGCAGAAAGATGGTTTCACTTTAGTTGTGCATCTTCAATTGAGTATTTTTAACTAAACAGTATGTGAGGAATTTCCACATAGTTACCTTCTAACCCTAAAATACTAAGTCATTACCCTTGTGGGGGGGACACCATGTAAGGCACTGGACAACTTTTGAAGAACCCAGAAATCATTCTTGCTAAAACATCCTTTGCATAAAATAGACTTGAACTAATGTGCTGATTTTTTTTTTTTTTTTTTTTAACATTTTCAGATAGCAAAATTACTCAATGGGAAGACCCAAGACTGCAGAACCCAGCCATCACTGGCCCGGTCAGTATTCTCAAACTCTGACCCTTCAGTATAAGCCTTTGATTTCATCTATATATGCATCTCTTGTGTGTGACTGATCACCGTGATGCCAGGGATGGGAATGAATGAGTTGTTTAACATTCCTCCTCCTCACCAAAGTTTCCAGGTGGGGTCCAGCTAAGTGTGCCTTTTCATGGGATGTTCATTGTGAAGGAAAAGAATATGGTTTGATTAACGGTAACAGAATGAAGTGTTTTTCATTCTCCTTTGTAAAAGGGTGGTTTAAAAGTATAATTAAAATTTCTCCCTTTCTCCTTCTCTGATGCAAAGCCAGGCCTTTATTTTGTAGAGCGTTGTCATTTCTTTAAGCCACAGTTAGTAAACAGGCACTAATAAATTTACATCTCTTCCAACTTTAAACATCTGTAGGCATTTGGATGAGGTGGTTGCTACCTTGGGGGAACTGACAGTTAAGGATCTTTAACTCTGCTGACCCACTCACTTTCTCACAGCTGTGCCTGAATACGAATTTTGTGGCTTTGATTCAGTTCAAATTATATTTTAAATGATGAAGAGATGTCTATCTGAAAACTTCAGAGATGCTGCAGGGCCAATGTGCATTGAGGACTGACATCCTCTGGCCGTTTGGTTTTGGTTTTGGTTTTGGTACTGGGGATTGAACCCAGGGCTGCTTTAACATCAAGCCACACCCCCAGCCCTTTTTATTTTTTGAGACATCATCTCTCTAAATTGAGTACAGCCTCACTAGTTGCTGTGGGTGACCTCTAGCTGGCAATCCTCCTGCCTCAGCCTCCTGAGTCACTGGGATTACAGGCATGAGCCACTGGATCTGACTCCTCTGACCTTTTTTTTTTTTTAATTCTTTCATTGAATTTGTTCAGCCATTTTGATACTATTCCCTCTATAAAATGCCCCCCAATACAGTCAAATACTTTTTTCTCTCTGTAGTCTAAAAAACACTGCCGTGCTTTGATAGCTTCTTTTTTTCATATTCACACTAAAATTGATTATTAGAATGGTATTTCCCTTCTCCATTATTAAAAACAAGGCAAATTCAAGAAACAATGTTGTCTGCAATTGACAGAAGATGGTTCACATGATGATGTTGAAGTTTTCACTATTTTTTTTTATCACTTATCAGTCACCCACCTTCACTCAGAACACTACTCCTTTTTATTTATTAGTTATCAGTGAAAATTATTTAGCATTATAAATTCAGGTAGGTTTGCTCCCAAGCAAGATATCTGTTCTTTCTGTTTTCTGTTAATAAAGGAGACTTGCTTGCTTTTTTATTGTTATTAGTGATACTGCTTTCAGTAGGAATATGTGTATTTAGGTATTTGCCAACTTGGGGTAGATATTTGGCTCTACTATTGAGTTCTAAATATTGGGCAGTTTTCATATGATTTTTCTCCTTGATTTTTGTAAATATTTATCATCTCCTTTTCAGCATGGATTAGAGGGGGTTTTGCCTATCCACCTCTTATTTCCAGTTGTATTGCATTGTTAAGGGAATATTGTTAGGTATTTGAAACATAATGGAGGTCTGGTTATTTTTTGTAAGTGTTCTTTTTGTGTTTTTAAGAAATATGTAGTGTCTCTCTGGATGTAGAGTTCTTGATGTGTGCATTAGGTCCAGGTTGTGATGTTTAAATTATCCAGATCCTTACTACCTTTTTCCTGATTGTCTGATCCACTCAAGATTTGTATCAAAATCTCCGTAGTGATTGTTGCTGTGTGAGTTTTGTTGGTTTGTGTAATCACACTCACTTTCTCTCTTCCTTAGTGTTTGTATGGTGTATCTTTTCTATCTCTTGCAGTTTTTCTCCTCCTTTCTTGCCAAGTGATAAAAGTATAAACAGATTTCTTGGCCCACCATTGGCTTTTGTCTCCATTGTTCCCCAAGGTTTTCACTGAAGTGCACAGTGCACTTGTGGTTCTGAGTGTGTGGTCTGCAGAGCACAGGCCTCTTCTGGGAACTTTTTTTGAAATGCATGTTTTCAGGTCCCACCCCAGATCCATTGACTCAACAGCTTGGGGTGGGACAGCAGTCTCTGTTTTATGGAGCTCTCCTTGGGCTGCTGATGCCGTCTCAAGATGAGAGCCTCAGCCCAGCAGCACCACCAGTGAGCTGGAGTGGGGACCTCTTGGTCTTCCACTCTGAATGTCTGGTCGGACCTCTTTCGAGGTGAAGTTCAGCTGGTGAAAGAATTGTCATTTAATTTCCTTCAGTACTTTGGAGACATTCTCACTTGTCTTCTGGCTTCCATACTGATGGCAAGAAGTCTGTTGTCAATCTGTCATTTCTGTGTGGGTAAATAGCTCTGTTCTCTGGTGACTTTAAGTTTTTTCTCTGTGCCTTTAGTGTCCTTGAATTTCACTATGTGGATTTCTCTCTGTTTATCCTGCTTTGGGCTCAAGATTTTTCGACACAGGGAATCAGGTCATCTCTCTTCCAGAAAATTCTCAGCTGTTGTTTCTTCACATACTGCATGTTTTCATCCTCTGTAGATCTGTTTGTTTGGGGCAGTACTGGGAATCAGGGTCTTGCTAAGTTGCTGAGGCTGACCTTATACTTGCAATGCTCCTGCCTCAGCTTCCCGAGCGTGTACCACCGCACCAAGCTCTGAGTCTGTCTTTGTAACTCCTAAATGGGCCTTTTGGTTTTCTCGCATATTGTCTTTCTTGTCTCTTAACTTTCACATTCTCTCTCGTGCGCGCTATCACTGCCATATTGTGAATCATGACTTAGTTCTACCAGTGAATTCTTTTTTAAAGTTTTTATAGAATCTATTCTTTATCTGTTCATTGTATCTAATATTTCAGTGACTGTTTACTTGCTCCAAGTACTATTTAATGGTCTTGTAAATTTTGCTTTTTTAATTCGTTCATCTCCTTTACCATTTTAAAAACACTTATTTAGTATGTCTTTTCGGGTTATTTTATTATATCTGGTCCTGAGGCATTAAATCTCCTACTCATTGTCTATATTCTCCTTAATGGTAGTTTATTTTGTGTGTGTGTGTGTGTGTGTGTGTTCATCTTCATTTTCTTTCTAGGTGGCTTTTGTAAATCCTGACCTGTCTTTATAGTCAACTTGTTAGCCTAGGTTCATGCCACTCAGTTAGGATAACTGAACCTCATAACAGGTTTGGAGTATCGGTTTATTACAGGCCTGTTTCTTTTGGTTTTTCTCCCATTTGTGGTCCCAGCTAGGTTAGCCTCTTTCAGTGTCTCTTGGCCAGTAGATACTTTTCTTTTCCCCACTAAGATGTTAGGGTCTAAACAGAGAATTCTGCTCTGGCACCCTGGAACATATAGACTGTTGACAAAATTGTGTGTCCCTGTGGGAAAAAGATGAACAACTAAACACAAACACCTGTGTCTGAGTCCAGTGCCCCCTTGTTCCTCTGAGCCCTACTGCTGACGGGATGCCTATACCCTCTCTTTTTCCCCAAGTTTTCAGAATCTTAGCTCTGAATTGATCCAGCATTTATACACATTTGTCAGATGAGGAGAGACCCTTTCTGTGGTGGCTCAGTGTACAGCAGTTCTCAGAAATTAGTATGTGATCTCTCTGACGGATGCGTCAGTAGCGCCGTTAAGTGCTGTCCATACATGCTGCTAGAAGGAAGGCCATCTCAAGGACTGTCAGCTGATTGGGAACTCCCAGCAATGTACTCGGGGCAGGTGTTATCACCAGCTCACCAGAAGCTCAGAAAGCTAATCGTGTTGTCGCCAATTCCCAAAATGTCAGAACAAAGACTAGAGCCCTGATGTTCTGGCATCACCAGTTATCTCCACAAGTCTTTTTGGTCCAGCATCACCCAGAATAGAATGACACAAAATATTTGGAACGGACCTACACAATCAGCTAGGTTTCGCACTACCAAGAAGGGAACGTTTTCAAAGCAGAGCCAAAGGGCTAAGTTCACAGGTATGTTAATTTTTCACATAGGTGTGTTTTACAAGTTAAATTGTATGCAAGAAAATGAGATGCCAGGTTTTCATGAGAGGATAAATAATTTGGTGTGTCTGATGCAAGAAACATACACATAATTCTCTTCAGAAGCTGCTGCGTATGGCCATCTCTGTCCTGGTATGCAGTTAGAATCTTTGCAGGAAATTTTTCCATCTTGAGAAATACCTCTTGAGAGGAAGGATAGTTAGCACTGGAGGAGAATGATGTTTGTTTAACTTTCTTGCACCGTTCCCCGGAAGAAGAAAGACCAAAGACCAGAAATATCTCAGCTTCCTATTTCCACCCACATCTAGTCAGCACCTGCCGGTTACAAGGCAAGCACAAGAATGGATGTCACGGTGGGGGCCAACATTTGAAATCTGTTCCTTGGGAAATTTTTCACCTTTTAAATGCCATTGAGCTTTTTCTGTAAACAGTGATGAATATTAACGCATTTTTTCAACACTTGGGAAGGGGAAAAAAAAAAATTACTGGGAATCAGACATTTAGAAATGAAAGAGACCGAAGCTGATCTGATCAGACCCTTCTGCTTAACCATGAAGATGTTCCTTAGCAGAGAGGACATGTCAGAACTGCCTGGTGGCAGCGTCTTCCTAAAATTCAGGTGGTCTATGCCTGTCCTTAGAGAATGGAAGGAAGTCACATCTTCAATTTAATTCCCCTCAGTCACAGTCCTAGCTGAAGGCATCAACCAAAGGCTTTCCCTCCTCAGGATTTGGTACTCACTGTCACTGGCCTGTTCCCTTTGCTCAGAGGTCCCCCAGAGCTGCCCTTCCTGACCACCTCACACAGAACTGAACTCTGCACTGGATGGACGGATGTTTTTCTCCCTCGTGATACCTGCATTTGTTGATCCTCATATTTCTCACTGCCTGTCGGCCCCAAAAGCTTGTTAGCCTCCAGTTAACTGGGAACTGGAAAAGGACCTTTTTCATTATGTACCATTATTCCCTTAGCACTTAAAATGCCTTGCACACCTTGCACAGAGTCGGGCTCAGGAAATGTCTGTTGAACAAATGAACAAGTGAACCACCAAAAAGTGATACATAGATTTTAATTGTTCGTGGAGTGTAGTGTTGGTAGAGCAGAGAAAACCATGTCTTTGTTAGCATAAGAACATTGTATCCTCATCTGTACATGGATGGTCGTCCACGTATTGACAAGAGTCAGGATTCATACCTGAAGGCTGAGGACGTGGCTCAGCATAGACACTCGCCTAACATGCGTGAAGCCCTGCATTTAATCCCAGCACCACCACCACCCTCGTCCACACAGGAGGAAAACACACATGATTTCCTCAGACTAAACATTGCCAGAACACATGGGATGTATGGTCGGCTCTCCTGATCAGTGGAAAACTCGAATGAAATGTATGGACCTGAAAACTTAGGACAGGCCCTAGGCAGTATGACTCTTCTCTAGAATGTTCTTAAGGTATATATGTATGATGTCTTCATTGCTCTTGAATTCAAAACAAATGACATGAACATTTTCCATATGGAATGGTTATATGTTTTTGTTTCATGAATTATTTGTTTAATCTTATGAAACGGAGGGTGAAGGACAGAAGCATTTGCTCTTCGCTTTCTCTCTTTATGGTCAAGAATAAGCATGACAAAAGGCTCAGGGGTGTAGTCTGGAAACATTTTCCTGAGAATTGGTATATTTTATTAACTTAGCCTTAAATGATACGAGCATAAGTATTTGCTTCCTAGATTTATACTGTTCATTAAAAAGCAGTGAGTTTCCACTTGTGAGGTGGGTGCTAGTGTCTCTGTGTATATGCAAAAGACAGTCCGTTCTACTTCATTAAAAAAAAAAAAAATACTATGAGCCTTTTCAATAGCCTAGTCAGGCTCTGCCTCTAAGCTGCTTTACAGATAGCAAATAAGGGCTATGTAAATGGTACATAAAAATGTTGTTACTCTGCCTGAAGAGACACCAGAACTTTTGAATAGTTTCAGCTGGCTCGGATGTTAGCCCACCCCTGTGGCGCCATCCCTGTGCTTCATAGAGAAGGCATTTGAGGTTTACAGAAATCCTCATCCAGGAACCCTGAGTAGGAAGGAGCACCCCTGGTGACTCCTCTGTGGAGGTCTTCCCAGAGCGCCATCTGCCCAACTGCGTTCCTCACCAAGGGTGTTAATTCACTTTTCTGTCTACCCATGGTATTTCCCCCAGAGGTTTTTAAAGCATGAATAGACTTTTCAAAATGCCCAGTATAGGTCATTTTGAGTTGTGTGTTAAAACATCAAGAACAATAACTCTTAACAGGGGAAATGAGTAATATATATCCCAGTGGCTTGAGAGGATGAGGCAAGAGGATGGAAAGTTCAAAGCCAGCCTCGGCAAAAGCGAGGTTCCAAGCAACTCAGTGAGACCCTGTCTCTAAATAAAATACAAAATAGAGCTAGGGATGTGGCTCAGTGGTCAAGTGCCCCTGAGTTCAATACCCAATACCCCCAAAATATATATGTGCACATATATATGTATGTCTATATTTTAGAGTCTGATGAAAATCACATAGAAAGCATATTTAGTTTGTGCAGCACACCCTAAATGATTTTTTCACTGCAAAGACAATTGTTTTTGGGGGTGAAAGCCCCATTCTGTGCCGATTAGTCCTAAGACTTTCCCATGTGCTGCGTAGACATTATGTAAATGTGCTATGAAAAATATGGGAAGTAAGTATTTAAGGTTTATGATTCATGAAACTCCCTGAATGTTGGCTCGGTGTACATAAATTTCAAGCAAATTGTTTGCATTGTCTATATTTATAAATTTATCTTCCAGGCTGTTCCATACTCCAGAGAATTTAAGCAGAAATATGACTACTTTAGGAAGAAATTAAAGAAACCCGTGAGTAATCTTCTCTTCTCAAAATGCTGTGTTTGGGTTGTCTGTGAGCTGCCAGAGTTACTCAGAACACACCATTTGTTGCTTTTACATGGATACTAAAAATATTGCCTTCCCTTTTTTACTGCACTTTGATCCACCTGGATCTTCAATCTGAATTTTCTTTTTAACAGAAATGGTAAGTGGAAATTGACTCAGTATTACATATCAAATCACCTGATGGGTAATTTCTTATGTAAAACCTAAAAAGATAGAAATGACTTTTGTGGGATATAAAATAATTCATGACTGCAGTCACAAAATCTGGGGAAGCCCATACAGTTGCATATGGTTGTCATATTTTAGACAGTCTACATTCAGGTTTTAAAAGTGTTCAAGTCCTTCGCTTTAAATTCAGAAGTATAGTTTTAACTACTAACATTTATAAATTATGTAACAAATAATTATAATACTTGGCAGCCTTAGTGTAATTTTTTTTTATTGCAATTCTCGGTGGCAATTTACAACCCAGAAACCCTGTAAGGTTTTTACAGGCGGTGCTGCAAATTACAGTGTTGCTTACCCCTGACCCATCACCCCCAAGTCCTTCCACCTGTGCCTCTTGTGCTAGTTCTGATGGTACTACTCCAGTTTCGGTCTTACAGTTGTGACATCACTGGGAAAGGAGAGTCCACTAATTGTCCAGCTCACACGGTTTGAAAGGTCTATCCTCCTCTCCCTGGGCATGCTCCCAGGTGATGCCTGGAGTTCTGGGCATCCACTGGGATGAGGCACAGATGGCCTCGTCCTCGCTCTGTCCTGGATCACTCCACCTGTGGTTCAAGTGCCTCGCTGATGACTACTTTCCAAATGACTCTCTGTTCTTCAGGGCTCACGTTAGAACACATGTCCTCCAGTGTCAGAAATGACTTGGTGTCTTTGTCACATTTGCACGGCTGCGCTCTGCTCAGCCCCATTCTTAGGGCAAGGCCAGCCCTGGACCTCGTTCTTCTAGGTGGTGGTTCTCACAGCCCACACTTTGGCAGAATCAGGGTGGCACTCCCCGTGACAAATGAACTCGGAGGCCTCGTGGATCAGATTTACCACCTGTGGTCCCTATCAGATATGCAAATGGTCCGAGCCTGGCCAGATGGGGATTGTTTGTAGGTTTTGGTTACCTGTCCTTGATTGAAACCATACATGGAGCTGGCCATTCTCTTGCTAGTAGTTGAAGTGCCCGCACTGTTTGTCCAGAGGACAAGGACGATTTCCTTGTGCTCAGCAGGTTTTCTTCTACAGCGTCATGGCTGACTCAGCTGCAAGTAGATGCCCTGTGTGCCCCATGTTGACACAGTGAGGATTCTGTCTGTGGGAGGGGGAATCCATAAAGGAGAGGATCTCAGTTGGAACCACTTGTCCCTGCACGTTTATTTGAAGCCTGCCATCACTCTACCTTTTTTTTTTCCCCCTGAGAAAGCAAGGTACATATTTACTGTATGGTCCTGAGCTTTTTCTTTTTTCTTTTGTGTAGGCTGATATTCCAAACAGGTTTGAAATGAAATTACACAGAAATAACATATTTGAAGAGTCCTACCGGAGAATCATGTCTGTAAAAAGACCTGATGTCCTAAAAGCTAGACTGTGGATTGAATTTGAATCCGAGAAAGGTCTAGACTATGGGGGCGTGGCCAGAGAATGGTTCTTCTTGCTGTCCAAAGAGATGTTCAACCCCTACTACGGTCTCTTCGAGTACTCTGCAACGTAAGTATGGAGTACATTGAGAATGTGGGTCCCACAGAAATGGTTTTATCCTGAATGAATTTAAACTCAATGGGATGATAAGCTAATCACTCATTTGAAATGAATCAATGCCCAATTCCATCCCTCCTCATCCCGCCATCTCCCGCAAGTCTGGATCAGGCTCTCACTCTACCTGGTGAAATAATGTACTCCATGAACACCTAAAGTTGATTCTTCTCTTGTCTGTTGGGTTCCTGGAATTGAAATTGAAAATGTGTTGGGTAATTATGGTAAGGAACAAGAGGCAATTTTCATTTGTAATGTTCCTTTATTTCAAGAGGAGAATTCATCAGAGTCAGAATTCAGAAAGCGTCATTACATGAACAAGAAAAGTCTCTGAAGTCGTACTTATAAAGGCAAATTATGAAGACTTTGAGAACTCATGCTTGGGACACGAAAGGACCCTACCCTGGTCCTGTAAGGGAAGAACCAGGCTGCCCCTTGCATTAGGATTTCATCTCTGCCAGGCATGGAAAACTGAGACAGACTGAATTGCTTTCTCAACGCATGTTGGCGACTAGTAAGGCCAACCATTTCTCCAGGCTGAGGAATCTTGAAAGTCAAAGGCTGACCTCAGCTACCAGGAGAATGAATAGTTGTGGCCCTTTCCAAGAGGCATTGAGCATCAGTCCTGGGCTTTTAGGAGGACATGTGTTCTGCTGATGCTTCCTCGGGCCACCTGTCTCTTAGGAGTGTTATAGTTAAAGCTTGGTCCCAGGGTTTCATAAATTGACTTCCAGACCACTCACGTATAATCAAATCAAGCCTTTATTGAAGCACACCGGTGGCAGCTGACCAGAACATAAAAGCTGTTCCCCTGATCAGCCCTGAACAATTGCAAGGGCACTCCTTATAAGCCTGAAAACTGAAAAATGGATGTTCAGGGGGTCTAGCCAATGCAAGCAAGCCAGGTTACAGAAGCGGGACAGTGCAGTCAAGTGGAGGGAAGCCTAACCAATCACAGTTAGCCCAGTCACCCCAGTTACAGAAACAATACCTCATTAGGTAGTTCCGTGTTCTTAAAGGTTTCTATAGCAAAAGGAAAAGAACATCTTGCCCCAGTCATGACTCTTCTACTTGGCATGGTTGTTTTGCAGGATGAAGTCATAAAACAAAATGGAGTCACATTTGCTCCTACTATCACAGGAGCTCCTTTAGAAGACAACCTCAGTATATCCTTCTTGGTTGATCTAGCCAAGAATTGCCCAGTGGTGTTGGTGGTTGTTACTGAGTCCATGAAAAAGTCCATTGTGTAATTGATGGAAACCATTGAAGTGGAGGGCAGGATAGGAGGCAAGATCCTCACCTCTCACCCATATGCTCCAAGATGTCCCCTGGAGGAACCTGTCCATGAAGTCCAGTTTGAAAAGCACTGATCCTCCTCATCGTTAGATCAAAGCAGGACCCTTGGGTGCAAACAGGCATCTTGAGGCTTGCCTTGTTGAGATACTTGGGTCTTGCCTGGTACTCTTGAGGCTTTTCAGGACAGAGTGATGGTTATATTAACCAAGTGTGGGACCTGCAAGGAAAAAATCTTAGCCTCTGGAATAAGTTGGCCTCTGTCATGGAGAGGATCTGAAGGGCAGGTGCTGTAGGAGCCCCTGCTCAGCCCCTTCATCATGCAGCCCATCTCATCTTCCCCAGATGCTTGCTGACATTGTTACAGACCCCACGTGGGCAAACGGCAGCTTCTGAAGATCTCTCACTCTGCCTGGCTTGCGTGTTGCTGAGCAGGCCTCAGCAGCTGGGCCCAGCAGAGGATGACTGGATGCTGAGTCCCAGCCTCCCATCACACCTTTTCCCACCAGGTGCAGGACATTTGCCAGAGCACCGCAGGAGCCGAATGACAAATGGCAAAGAAAAATTCAGCTTTCTGGGTTTCTTGTTTAAAATTATGACTGGGCCTTACTTCTCTCTTTTCTTTTCCCAAAGGGACAACTACACACTTCAGATCAATCCCAATTCGGGCCTCTGTAACGAAGATCATTTGTCCTACTTCACTTTTATTGGGAGAGTTGCTGGTCTGGCAGTATTTCATGGGAAACTCTTAGATGGTAAGTGATTTAGAAATCTTGAAGCTGTAAGAACAGGATCATTGCTGTCCATGCTTCTTCTTAGGTTCTTTCACATCACAGATTATAAGTAAAAGCTTCGCTGTTTCTCGTTAATGCAGTGAATAATTTTTATATTTCACCCATAACGGTGATCTTTTTCCTGGTGTCATCTTGGGTACTGAAGACAGAGCGTCTCTGGACAGCTTTAAAAAATATTTTTTAATTTAATTGTGAAGCACAGAACATTCTGTATTTATGCATTTTGTATGTTTGCCAGAATAAGTTTTCTTTAGTGAGAGCTAGATCTGGTGACAGATGGAAAAACTAATTGAAAAGTTAATTAAAATGATCTAATCCATCAATATCCTGCCATTGTTCCATTTGTCCCCAGAATTATTTTTCTAACGTGAAAAGACTAAATAATTCCAAAGTAATATTATAACCCCAGAGTCCCTGCTGAGACAGATGACACAAAATCACTTCATCCTATTTAGAGATGTAAATCATAGGAGAATTTCAAAAGATCTTAGAGAAATTACAGGTCAGACCCCCTGCCTGGCTATGGCTTATCATACAGATTTCAAAAGTCATTTCAAAAGTGCTCCTAAGAGGCCACTGTAGAAATCATCAGTGAGGAGACATCAGAAATATTTTTTTAAGAACTTGGGTATGAAATGTTTGAAAATGAAAGACATTAAGATTAGAGATTGACATTTCAGTTACTGTCGAGAGAGCTATTTCCAGGGGAATAATGTTAATTGCATTCCAATAAATAATTGATATATTTTATATTTTTACTGTTAATTGCTAACTGATTTTGATCCTGACTTCAGTGAACTCCTATTTTAGCGAGGAAAAAAAACCAAAAGCAGAAGAATCACAATGATAGCATGTAGGCAAAAGGGGCAGGGCAGGGGGGCGTGGGGCACACTGAGTGCTCAGAGGAGAAACGGACCAGCTGGGAGTGCTTTACCTTGGGGCTTGTCACATGTGAGCATCAAACACTGGGGTTGTGTCAGAGAGCTTGGGTTGGCCAGGAGCAAAGCTCCGTGGCGGGATAATGGAGGGAGGCCATACAGACAGGGAGCCGAGCCACTGCTGAGTGGTCCCTGCCAGTGGGTCACAGCTTGCATCAGTTACAGCCACAGAGCCCACAGCTGTGCATGATCATCAGGTCTTCAGTTTCTTAAAAATGCAAATGCCTATCAGCAGAGCATCCTCTGCACATGTGTCTACTGCCCCTGCCCTGGGCTTTGTCCTCTCACCTGACCAAAGTATCCCGGAGTCTGTGACCCTAAGTCCGTGCCAAGCCAGAGGCACATGGGCCCGCGCTGCAGGCACTGGGGTGCGGGTGAAGCAAGAAGGGGCCAGGGCCATTCGAGGCGGCGTGTGATGCTCCCTCCTTTGTGGAGGTCCCTGCTGGGGGATGTCCACATGGTGGAAGAATCACCCTCTCTGCCATGACCTCCCTGAAGTCCCTGTCCTCGACACTGTAGGGAATGGTGTGCAGACCCAGCCTCCCTCTCCTCTCAGGTTTCCTCCGGTCACTGCCCGAGCAATCATACTGAAAGACCTGGGGTTTCCTGGATCTTCAGTGACTTTTCACTGCTCTCGAGATTAGCCCTTCCCTCCAGCCCCACACAAGCTCTACCTGTCCAGCCCCTTCTCTGGCCTGGGACACCATGCATTTCCACCCTGACCAATAGCTAATGTGTCCCCAGTTGGTTCCTCTGTCATGTCCTCATTTGCATGCACACTCCTGCTTGACTTGGGGCTCACTGGTGGCCTCCGGAAGCCATTTCAGCCCTCTCTTATACCACGCCTGTTGGGACAGCCACCTTCTTCCCCCTCGGCCCCCCTTTCCAGGTCGTCCTCTACTGGTTCTGGATTACTCTAGAAGGTTCCTGATTATTCTGTCCTGGTTTCATTCAACTGGAAAACGGATTAATCTTCTACTTCATGCTCTGTTGTACAGCAGCCTCAAAGACTTGAAAATAAACCCGGTTTTTGCCATATTTTAGGTTTCTTCATTCGACCATTTTACAAGATGATGTTGGGAAAGCAGATAACTCTGAATGACATGGAATCTGTGGTGAGTAGACACAGACCATCATGGGGCCCTATGGATGAGTGTTGGAGACCATGTTCAAAGTCACAGTGATTGCTGTAGGTGTTGTTCAGTGTGAACAGGGAACAAAAATTAATTAATCTCCCTAATTTTTGTAAGAAGCAAATCACTGTTCAGTTTTCCTGGGGTCATGGTACTTAGGATAGATACACCAAAGTCCAGTTACCCCCATTTACCCGGCACAGGACTTGTGCAAACAAATTACATTTAAGAGGTATCTGGAGACCTCACTGTAGCCTGTCTTCCATCCTGTTAGTGCAGAGTGCCTAGAGATTCCTCCCTGTCCTCTGTTCCTTGACCTCAGAATCATGGCAGTGTAAGGCCAGGACTATAGGAAGAGTATGCAGTTGTGCTAGCTGTGGAGGATGAGTGCCCACTCAGAATGGCAGAGTCAGGGTGAGGGCCTCCTGAGGGTGGTCTGGGTTTTCGCTTTGCACTGAACTCGCTAATCTTGCTGGAACTGGCCATATTAGAGTAGATAGGATTTTCTACAAAAGCCAAAGCTAACTTTGTTTTCATAGTATACTCATGCTTCTGTTTTTCTTTCAATTTACCTCTACCCACTTTCTACCTCTGAAGTGTCCGGGTGTTTGTCCATGTGCCAATACAGGCACGGGGACATCAGGACGCATCTTTTATTCACATGGGGTATTTGAAGCTTTGCCCAAGTTAGAAATTCTACCTTCTTCAGTCTTTTTTTTATTTCTTTCAATTATTTATTTATTTTACTTGTCGATGGACCTTTATTTTATATATTTTTTCATATGTGATGCTGACACTTGAACCCAGTGCCTCTTGCATGCTAGGCTTGTGCTCTACCACTGAGCCACAACACCAGCCCCTTTTTTATTTTTTACATAATGGACCTCCCTCAGTCTTGCTGGTGGGTGTAGTGACTGTCCCCTCTACTCCTTGGTACATGAGCCGTGTCCTTGATGCTGACCAGCACTGAGCAGCTGCTGCTTCTCTCACAGTAGGAAAGGAGAGAAGGCCTTGGCCTCTGCTGCATGCTGTCAGGACTGGGCTGGGGACACAGCCTTAAGTGCCATCTCACTTCTCCTTGTAGTCTTTGCCTTTGCTTATAATCTTGTGTTATTGCTGTATTAAAAAGAAGCAAGGGACATAGAAATTGCTCTTAAAGTCTAATTTTGAACTCTGTGGTGACAGTGTTTTAGATGCAGTGTGCATATTATCTTGGCCTTTTCAGAGCCTGGTTGTCCCCAGCAGTAGAGACCCTGGGCCTGAGCAGAGTGGAGCTGGTGGCCCATGGCGCTCCTACTCATTTCTGAAATCAGAGTTGCCTCCCTTTTTGCTTTAATTAACTTGCAGAGGTCCATGAAAGCACAGGAAGGGATGGAATCTGTAAAACCAGTGTTCAGTTAGAACCATCTCTGTCCTGCCCATTTTCCTCTGTCTTCACTCTTAAAAGCCGGGGAGTGTATTGCTGTGTGCATGTTGAGTTCTGTAGACCTGGACAGTCCAGCTGCTCTGACACCCTCTGCAGTGGGCATCCTCTACCCATTTCACAGAGGACAGGAGTCAACTACAAACCCCTGTTAACCCTCAAAGTTTTGTTCCCCTTTTAAATTAAAGGGGAGGGTGGGTTGGAATGGGGCAGGCACCATCACATTAGTGAACAGTGTAAATTCTTGAGCATGGAGTTATATTAAAAGGACTTGAATGGAGTCAGATGAGTTTGTGTTTTTAATTCTGTACTTTCTGTGTCATTGCTGTAGGATAGTGAATACTACAACTCTTTGAAGTGGATCTTAGAAAATGATCCTACTGAACTGGACCTCATGTTCTGCATCGATGAAGAGAACTTTGGGCAGGTACGTGGAGGAGACACCAGGAGCCCTTTGGCTTTCAAAGAACATTGTCTCTTTCATAGGCTCTATCGCTGCTTTCCTGGACAGTTAAGAAGGGCCACCCAGAGCTCAGGTGTTCATTATCACCTCACTGTGGCAGCACCTGCTTATTGTCCCAGGAAGCCAAGTCCTGGTTACGGCCCCTTCTCTTCCCCACAAAGTTAGACATTCAAGAGGCCTCAGGAGCATGCATCAGCCTCTCTGCTCCAAAGCCAATCCTTGGTCTTAGCATTGAGGTAGTCAGTGATAGTGTGACCGTTTTACTGCAAGGTAAACACATGCTGAGGGCACAGGGTTTTTTCTCTGCTTTGTAGTTCTGTTATCCTGCTGGAATTTGTGGGCTTGGGTTTGTCTTCTGTTGTTCTTGCTGTGCTCCCATGTGGCCATCAGGCTGGATTCATCATAAAAGTCACTTTCAAAGACACAGCTGCCTGCTTGGGGTCTTCATCACCCTCCTGGGGCCTGGAGGGTGTGTTTGTCTGAAACCTGAAAGCGTCAACTTGGGACTTGGTTGTTGTCCAGTAATGATGCTTCCCTGAGATCGGGGCGGAGTATCATCTGCTCCTGACCAAAGCCCAGAGATATTTCCCATCTCTAGGTCCAAAACTGCATGGCCTTGAAATTAATTAGGTCATAGAGCCCATTTTCAGGGTTGCCATATGGAAAAAGAAATAGATTTATTTTTTTATTGCCTCAGAGATTATTGAAAGTGAACTAACCCCACAACACTTTTTGTTTAAGCTGTCCCTATTTAAGAGTCTTAACTGCCCGTTTTCAAGAGCAGCCTCAGCAACTTGGTGAGACCCTGTCTCAAAAAGGGCTGGGGGTATTACACAGTGGTTAAGCACCTCTGGATTCAATCCCCAGTACCCGTCCCCCAAAAGAGAGTAGCACATAGATGATTTTCCTAGATCACTTTTAACAAATGAAGGAAAGGATGGCACCAAAGACAAAATGAGTCTTGTGTGTCACATGCATACGAGTGCCTCTTTGTGTATTCTCAAGAGAAAAACGCATAAACCAGCGGACGCAGAGTAGTTCAGAAAACTGTTAGCCGTGACAGTGGTTGAAGTAAACGAGCTGGGAAACTTTCTTTAGTTGTAGTTGGATGTAACTATTTCTATTTAATAACTGAAAACTAAACAGAGGATGTTGTATTTTTAAGTAGACTTCAGATAGAGATTATGTTTATCGTTATACTTGATGCTAATTGTTCACGATAAACAACCGAACCACCTCCTTTAATGCCATGGGGTCTTTTGACTTTGGGTAGAATCGGGTAGGGAGATGCAGTCAGCACAGACCCAGGAGATGATCAGGTGCTCAGTTTGTCAAATTATTGCCTTCCCCTTTCAGAGAGCTTAACCTGATGAAAAGGGGTTCATGTACCTACTTTCCATTCCGGGCAGGAATTTAGAGTGAATTAAGCTGCCAGGTATTGGTCTCTTTCTTCCTATTCAGTTCACACAGAGCCCTGTTCATGGCACCTCTCAGAGATGCCTCCCATCTGTTCCCTGTCTCTACACCACTAACCCCCAAGTCCAGGCGGCTGTCTTCCCAGAGACTCCTTGCCAGTCTCTCTCTACTTTGGCCTCTCATAATGGTGCAGTGGTCTTTCCAGAGTAAAACCGTCATGCTGTTTCCCTGCCAGAAACCTTCAGGGCTTTCCCAGTGTCCTTGAGGTAAAGCTCCAGGTCTGCCCTTTGTCCCATGAGGCCCTGCGTGATTGGCCTGCTCCTCCCCTCGAGGAGTACCACAGACCTGCTTCTCCCACTTTCTGGGTCAGCCCCACTGGCAGCCTGGAGCCCACTCAGCTGCTTCCTGCCTCAGGACTTGCTCTTGCTCTTCCTTCTGCTGGGAGCGTCTCCTTCCCACTCTCGGAGCAGACATCCCTTCTCTGGAAAGCTAGCTCTTGACCACAGGCCATGTACGTCAGAGGATCTTCGTGTCGTCCTAACGGTGCGCAACACAGTGAACTTGGCATTTCTTTGAGTATGTGTGTGACATCTGTCTCTGCCAGACTTCCTCTTGGTGACGGCAGCTGAGTGCTGCCTCTCTTGCACACTTGCCATTAGCTTGGTGCCTGGCACATGGTAGACACTCACGCGTCAGTTGTTGAAACAAAACTGCAGGCACTAGCAAGACATCTGTCCAGGCCTCTTGCCTCTTTCCACTCTCTGCAGATCTGGTGGCCAGGCACTGCAGAAGACCTAACATGAGAGAGGTCCATTCCTTGCAGATACCAAAAGAAAAGTCATGTTCTCCGTGGAGTGGAGGGAATGCAGTTGCCATGGTGAAACAGACACAGTCAGCCTTCCACTGGGTTCTGAGCTGTTCCATTTCTCATTTCACAATCAGAAGTGTCAGACCATGAAGTCTGGTAGCTGTTAATCCGCGTAACAGAGCTGCAGCTGTTGTCATTGTTGTGCAGGTTGTTTTCTTTCTGGCTGATGAGAATCTGGAGCTACTGATTTCTGGGGCCTATTGTGTTTCCACTGGAGAACTTTCGGTATCTGAGTGGTTGTCAGACACTAAGCAAGAAGACCAACCATGCACCGAAGACTCAGACATGCACACACGCACATGTTATCATGCTTTGTTGTGCACTGGCAAAGCAGATCCATGTGGCGCTTTGGAGAGGCTCTGGGGCATGGGTCTTCAAGGAGCTGTGCAGGAGGCAGGGGGCAGCAATTTCTCCCCAGCCTGTCAAGTGAAGCATGCTCTCTCAACAGGGTGATCGCCCCAACTGCTCCTTGGAGACCGAGGCAGAAGGATTGCAAGTTCAAGGCAAGACCCTGTCTCAAAATAAAATTTTAAAAGGGCTGGGGATGTATGGTGGAGTTCTTGCCTAGCCTAGCAGGGCTCAATCCCCAGCACCACACACACACACACACAGTGGGGGGGATCAGAAAAGGAAGAAAATTGGTCATCTCAGATGCTGCAAGGGCTCACTGCCACCCCAGGGTCTGTAGCACAAGTATGCCTTATATCCACGTATTCGGATGTCAGAGACGTAGGTAAGTCATCCAGGTGTGGCAATTGTGATGAAGTAAAGGTTGAGAACACTGGGTTGGGGGAAGGGAGCGAGTGAAAAGATCAAAATGAGGAATGTGAGGTGGAGGAAGGGGACGGCAGAGCCAGGAAGACCCAGACCAGGAGTCTGGAGTGGTGCTCTTAATATCAGGTCAGTCAAGGGACAGACAGAAGCAGCTAAGGAAATTTGAAGTCAGGCAGGAAGTGACAGAGACCTCAGTACTGTCTGTACGAAGCCTTACTGTCAGCTGGGGGAGCATAGGAAGGGTGAGGTAGGCCAGGGCAGGGGCTGTGGGCTCTGACTGCCCCCGAGGCCGCATCCTGCAGGGCTGTACATACCGCAGGGAGCCAGGTCTAGCACTCAGCACCAGGGGATGGAGTCTTAGAAGCACCCAGACTTCACTCTGCCCAAGTCCAGCAGCTCAATAGGATCCAAACTATATCTCAGCTAAGGGTGTCTACTTCTATGAGGGTCACACGTCATCTCGTTGTTTCCTCTGATGTTTTACATTTTTTTGTGGTGCTGGGGATCAAACTCAGGCTTGCATCTGCTAGGCAAGTACTCTACCATACATCCCCAACCCTATATATATATTTTTTTTTTTTTTTTACACTTTTATTTTGAAACAGACTCACCAAGTTGCCTAGGCTGGCCTCAAACTTGTGATCCTTCTGCCTCCGCCTGCCAGGTAGCTGGGGTTATAGGTGTGTACCATCAGGCTTGGTTCTTCTGGTCTTTATGAGGAAGAGAGAAATTTATGATCAGGCCACTAAACTTAAAGAAAAAAATAGGAGTTTTTCTACAAGCACTTATTGAGCACCTCCTGCATGCCAGACATTGTATTAGTGTCCTTTGTATTATGCTCTTCAGGACTTCAAACCCAAGAGACTGACAACCTGGCCCAGAATGCCAGTGTCAGGGTAGACATGTGTATTTAACAGAGTGGGGAAATACACAAGGTCAACAGGGATTGGCCCCACAGGGGAAGAAATGAAGACCCAGGAAGGGTCGGAAGTCAGCACCACTGATGGTTTGAACTGAGAAGCCTGCACAGGGACCTGGGGGCCTCGCTCCAGGATAGTGCTTTAGGGTGGGGACCAGCAAACCACCCTTCCCAGGCCCACCCATGAATACCCTTCACCAGCAGAATCAGCTCTTAAATGGGCACCACAGACTATTGCCTATGGCCACGTTATTTAGCATCAATAGTCTTGGTTTTCTTTTTCTTTCACAATTTTATTGGTTTGATCAAAAAATGTTTCTTTGTAAAAATAGTCTGTATAGTAAAAATCTAAAATTTATATAAATCATCTATCTCCACTATCTCGAGAAAAATCATGGCTGAAATTTTTATTTGTATCTTCTAAAATTATTTTTAGAAAGTTCTGTTTCAGTTTGTTTTTATGGAAGTGAAATTGTACTTTGCCCGTAGTGTTCAACCTAGTGTATCACAGATAACTTTCCATGTTAGTAAATATTAATCTATGTCATGTTAAGGGCTACACTTTCCATTTTTTAGATGTACCATATATTTTTAACCATGATCTGTTGGTAGGCATTTCAGGGCAGCTCAGCTCTCCCGAGACAGACTCTTCCCCAGCTCTGGAACAGTCATTCCGACTCAACTATGGCTCTCGGCAGCAGAGATGTACCCCCATGTCTGTGGCTGACCCTCTCATTCAGTAGCACCCTGGAATTCACAACTCCAGGGGCCCCCTGGGGGCCCCTATAAGCAGAGCTAGAGAAGGGTGAGTCCTGGAAGGAGTGTTAGTCTAGGGATTGTGGGTGTTATTTACGCTCCCTGCCTAGACTGTTCCAGAGCTGGGGAAGAGTCTGTCGGGAGAGCTGAGCTGCCCTGAAAGCCTGCCCTGTATCAAGGCTTGGATTATTAACCTGTCAGTGGTGTGGGTCAGGTAGAAAACCTCCATTCCTGGAGGGAACAGCAGGCAACCTTAGAGGAGGACTAAATGGAGGAAAAAGAAAAATCAATGACACTAAAAACGACTACAGAAGGTATAAATGAACACTGTCCACAGATCTTAAAAAAAAAAAAAAACAACTGGAAATGTTCTCCAGGAAATATGCCTACACCATTGTCCAGGTGAGAAATGGCGTCCTCCACAGGGTAGGAGCTGGAGGGCAGCAGCAGGAAAGGGAGGTGGAGCCATTGGAAGGGTTTGAGGAAAATGAACAGAGTTAGAATCTGTATCAGGCCAAAAGTTGAATTCATTATAGAAAACGGAATTCAGTCATGTGGTGGAAAAGTGAGATCCCTTCCCAGAGGAAGAGGGAAAAGGAAAAAAAATACAATGATGGATGCGATTGACGATGCCACCCCAGTGTGAACGGGAGTGAAAATTGAGACAGAAAAGACTGGGAGACAAGACTGGCTGTGCAGGGCAGGGTGGGAAGACGGCTGGAGCAACTCTGCTGGGCAAAGATCCATGCACACACTGGAGTCCTGTCCCTCTTATGGCTAGAACTCAGATACCTGCTATGGAAAGCTTCCCGCAGGCTTGATTGACTCTGTTATACAGCTGGGTGGGTGGAGAAGGAGACTCCAAGGGATCCCCCGGAAATATCCATGTGGCTGTCTTTTAGCAGGGGAGTTGGTGGGGATAAGTTTTTTTTTCTACCTTCTTTGTTTGAAAATTCCTCCAATGAGAATCAACATTTTATTTTTAAATGAAAGGCGTCTCCCTCTCTTGTGCTAGGTCTTGCATCACATGTACTGACATGAAGCCAGGGCTGGGTCAACACCAAACAGAAAAGGGATGGCTTAATGTCAACAGCTTTGTTCCTTCATCCAGGATTGCTCTGAGGGAGAGCACCGTGGGGCAGAGAGCAAGAAGTGTCCTAGTGCAAATAACTGTCTGCAGCCTGGCTTTTCAAGCTGCTTTCTTCCCTGTGTTCTTATTTTAAAGTCCCTGTCTTTTGCCTCTTTGCAATAAATTCCATGCATCCTTTTTTTATGACTCTAAAATCTAATTTCTAGAAACAAACAGAATGCATTAGAATTTGGATCTCTCTGGTTTTGATGCATGCACTCTGTCCTTTTTTCTGTTCAACATAATTAATTTCTCAATGAATAGCAGATGAACAATGTTGCTCTTCTGCATTGTTGCTAATGTATGAAGGATAATTAAAACCATAAAATAATTTGCCATTAATGATAACGTCTTTAAGTGTGTAACGTCTTAGCAGTTTCAAAGCCTCATTAGACATTCTCATACACACAGAGCCCATTTTCTGGGAAATATTTTTGAATAATTTTTTTCTTTTATAGCAAAATATTACTTAATACACAAAATAACTTCATTATGGTAATTGTTGTTCTTTCTTTGATTACAGACATACCAAGTGGATTTGAAACCCAATGGGTCCGAGATAATGGTAACAAATGAAAACAAAAGGGAATATATTGAGTACGTATACACATATTTACAAATATTTCTGGTAATAAATTGAAGAACATAGTTGGTTGACATCCTCCGCCAAAGCAGCTCATGTGTGTTCAGTTGGTCTTTAGTCACTTTGCACAATGTGAGCTCCTTTTGACCTGGGCTGGTTGAATGTGGGATGTTGAATATGGAATGGAGATTTTTGTCTTGTGACTTCAGTGAGCTCTGCTATCAGGGGGAGAGCAGGGAGAAAGGGTGTAATTGTTGAGTGATAGGACGAATTTTTTTTTTTTTTTTTGAGTATATGGGTATCATCTAAAACTTAGAATTGCAACAGTGAAACCCAGTGGCAGGAACTAATTAGGTAAAATAAGCAACTACCAGAGATAAGATATTTTCTCTCTCTCCTGATTTCTTTTTCAAAATGAAAACTTGGAGAAATAATTAGAATGGATTAGGAAGAATTTCACATGCATAAGCATAATGAAATGCTTCTAATATTTGTAATATTCTTAACCTAGTCTCTCTGGTTTGGTAGAATAATGTTAAATTCTCTTGGAAGTCCAGCTCTTAAGCAGTCCTAGGTCATTTGTACGAGGCAGAAGGTCTTTTGGTTGGGTATGTTACATTGTCATTTTGGGTATCACTGTGTGGTTCAAACACACCTTGCTGGGCTCTTCCGAGGATCTTCAGGCTGCCAGCTGCAGGGATGAGGTCAGTGCGGCAGCATTTGGTTCTGGGGCCCTAGCCTCCACCATCTGTGGGTCACAGCAGTGGCCTGAGTTTATTTTGTGTACAGCACTCCCGTGTTTCAACAAGCTAGTGCCCTCCATTCTTCTCACCTGAAGTTAATCAAGGGGCTTGCATTGAAACCATGGTCTGAGGGTCTCAGCATCTTTAACTATGATCTGCAAAGAAAACCTGTGCTTCCTGATTAGGAAGAAATAGTGTTTCAGTCTCTACTAGGAAACCCGGAGAATAGAACCATCCCACAACAGGCTTCTCTACTCTCAAGTTGAAACCTTGTTGTGCATAATAAACTAGATGCGACAGCTCTTCCGTGTCCCCATTAATTGGCATACTTGTTCTGATCTTAGACAGTTTTAGCAGGTAACACCATTGTCTTCCTTGGGAAAGTACAGATGGTGAATCGTTTTTTAAAAATGCTCCAGCCCAGGACACTAAGACCTGAAGTTTGAGGAGTCTGACGTGTGTGAAATGTGTGGTGCGTCACTCTTTGCAGATAATTATCCTGGGGTTCAAATGTGGTGAGAGCCAGGGTTCGGCCAGGGTTTCAGCTAGCTTCACTGGGAAAAAAAAAAAAAAAGTACGATCGAAATCTGTAACTGCTCCCTGGCCCTGCACTCTGGTACCGGAAGGTGGTGTTGGGCTGACGACTGACTGCAGCCCAGTTTTATAAGCAGTGACTGAGCACTGGGATATGCAGGCTGCTCCTCAGGGGCCATTGCTGTGGTGCTACCAGCCCTGTGTGAGGACGAAATGTCTTTAATGAAATCCAGAGTGGATTTGCTTTGTGATCAGTTCTGCCCAGAACACTGTCACAGGGAAAATGGTTTTAATAAATTTCAGTTACTTTGAGAGTCTGCCAGTTCCTCCTCCAAATTTTGGTATTAGAGGATTGTTGCACATGATAATGTAGTCCCTCTACAAAAGCACATCTATATTTATGCACGTGGGTGTGTGGATATGTGTGTATGGTACACACATAGCTATGTGTTTGTCCCTCATGATCTTTTCTCCCTTCTTCACATATCGGTGACATTTGATTTGATCAAGTAAGGTGGGGTGGGCGTGGGGGTCGGTTATGCTTTGGAAATTCTCAGTGGGATTTTATATTCCTCATGGGTATCTCAGTGCTTCTTGAACAGATTCCTGAATCAACAGTGGATGCACAATAGCAGACCCCTTTTGCCCCCTGTTACAAGGGTTTCTGTCCCTTTCCCTGCCTAAGGAGCAGCAGTCCCCATTGTAAAACAGCAGTGAACCCTGGCCATGAGGGAGGTGGCTGAGCATGTGCCCTTTTCTTCTGCAGCTTAGTCATCCAGTGGAGATTTGTGAACAGGGTCCAGAAGCAAATGAACGCCTTCTTGGAGGTGAGTGCTCCTCAAGTCCTGGTTGAGGGAGGTTGGTGAGTCTCCTGCAGGTGTGCTGGAGCTGACCATGCACTGAGTCACTGGGAGGGTGGGGACACCCCAAGGAAGGCCACCCTGCCCACCTCACACCTTGACCAGTCTCCAGGATGAGGGTATTCAGTAGTGTGCCACCATTTTTTTTTTTAAGTGTTCTCTTGCTTTGCTTCTGATTTTCTAATTTGTCTTAACTGTGCTTCAAGAAGACTTTTTACACTCTTGAGCTAGAGCCATTATCTAGAAGTGTCAGGCGGCACCCACGAGGAGTCTACCTACTACTGTGATGCCATGGTCTAAGTAGTTTGAGGACTTGGGCTGAACACGCGCAGGGCGGTTTCCCATCAAGCCATTCCTTCCTGGGACATTGTGTTCCCCTTCGGTGGCTGTGCCCTTCTTTATGCCTGTCTTGAAATTCCTCGGGGATGCCCTCCTGTTCAGGGACACGGATGGCACATTTTTGTCAGTGGGGTCTTATCTAGTACCTGTGCCCACTTCCACCCTGGGAAGGAAGGAAGCAGGCACCTCCTAGATCCAGGTGCTCAATGCTGCGGTTGTCACCAGGCCCCTTCTGAAGATCCTCTAGCAGAGGCCGAGGGGTTCTTCTCTGTAAGAGGTGTTCCATATTGACCAAAAGTGAAATCCTTTTTTAAATCTGATGAGTGTTAGTTGTTTAAAAGACAATGGAAGAGGGCTGAGGTTGTGGCTCAGTGGCAGAGCACTTGCCTCACATGTGGGTTCAATCCTCAGCACCACATGAAAATAAACAAAATATTGTATCCATGTAAAACTAAAAAATATTTTTTTAATAAAAAGACAATACAAGAAAGCTCCAACCGCACATCATTTCCAGGAACAGATGTGGCTCTCTTGGTGGCAGAGCTCTTCAGCCAACCCTAGCCCAGAACCTGCTAGGAGTAAGGAAGTCCTCACGGAGCAGAACACAAAAATTCAGGTCTCAAGGGACATAAAATGTGAGGACAGTCTTGAGGGGCACATTTCAGACTTTATTTAGATAAGAAACCCCAGGACACAGATTCCCGGGCCCCACCATGGTCTACCCTTTGGGAGCCCAACTTCCTCCCAGCACAGAGAGGCTGGTGTTGCCTCACGCCACTGCTCAGTGAGAGCCTGGTCTGCTGTCCCCGATTCTTCAGTGCCCGGCACACCCCCACCTCTCCCCTCTTGAGCTTCGTCTCTATGCCTTCATGTTATTTTTAAATGTGTCTCTTGAATGTCTGTGGCTTGTACTCTCTGGCTCACAATGGCTATGTCATAAATGGCTTTTGGAATTCACCTGCCTGCAATGTCCCATGCTGTCATAGGGTTTTAAATATTAACTACCTGAACCTTCTAGACTCTGTGACTTGGGGAAAAAAATTGTGTTGTGACTCTGCAGTTTTTATGGAAACTCTGGTTAACTAGATACCGTCACTGATGTAAGAATCATCAATAAGGAATGAGTTTTTCTAAGCAACCAAAAAGGGCTTATGTTTTCTGTAAAATCTGTCTTTTTCGAGGGAAAAAAAGGTGTTTAGGGTGATTTTCTTTTCTTTTTTTCCTTTCAGGGATTCACAGAATTGCTTCCAATTGATTTGATTAAAATTTTTGATGAAAATGAGCTGGAGGTTTGTATTACAAACATTTTATGTAAAATAATTTTTAAATAGTATCTCTCATTACAAATGATATTTTAATATTCTCTAATCTGTCATGACCTACTGAGGAAGTTGAGATAAATTCTATTTTGCGCTTCATTATCTGATGTGGGACTAATGGATAGAAGAAGTCATTAACCATAGCGCCCATGCCCATGAGCAGGCAGTTGTGGAACGTCCCCACTGAGCTGGGTTTGGTTCGTGGCACCAGGAGAGAAAAACTGGTTTATAGCAGCACCCTCTTTCAAGGCCAGGCTGGCCCGGCATCCCGCCTGCCTCCCCATCTCCACCATGGTAATAAATGGGGAACTTGAGCACAGACTGGGCTGTGAGCATCTCCTGGAGATTGTAGAACAGAGATCTCCTTGAACTTGACATAATTTATGTGGACTAAGGAAAAACAGCAATGGTATTTTGATGAGTGTCCCTCTTAGCTTCTTGCTGTTGGTGTAGGTGAAAGAGGGCAACTTGAAAACCCGAGGAATATCTTGCCCTTTGTTGAGAAAAACAGGAGGAGGGAAGGCGGTTGTGTCTGTTGCCAAGCTGGTGATGGCACTCGGCCGTTGTCCAGGACATATCAATGGAGTGGCTTTCTGTACTTTTACCTTAAAAGTGAAGACCTCAGGATTAATGGAGTCATAGAAACCATGCACTGTGAGCCTGGAATTGTGCAGGTGGAGTCTCTGAGGCAGGGAGAAGTGAGTCACCTCACAGGTGGACCCAGCAAGGTGTGAGCCCAGTCAGGCCTAGGAACTCAGTTTTCAGGCTTTGGGTGTAGTTCTCTCTGTTTTATTCTAGTCCCTCTGCAGGAAGAATCGTATTCATTAATCTATGATAAACCTTTACTGGAGATACACGATAGGCAAAGCAAATCTTAGACTGCCTGCCTCATTACATGTCTGTGCTCCATGGGCCTCTGGGTGAGGCCGATTGACCTCACCTGATTTAATCAACCTGAGGAAGATGAGTTCTTGCTGTCATCCGTACTAATTTGGGGGTGGGTAAGGAAAGTTTCACATATTCAGATGAATAACCTCTCAAGGAGACAGCCCCGTAATATGCCTATGCTAACAGGGTGTGAAAATCCACCATCCTTGTGCTTAAGTTTGGGGGAGGAGGAAGGTGACTGATGTGTCCTTAATTCCTGTGTGAAATGCCATGGCCTTGTGTGAGGGTTAGAATCAAATCACCCTCATTATCTGTGCTGTCTCTGTGACCCAGTGTGGCAGGGAAAGTTTGGAACACGAATCTGCATTCATTGGTTTTCATGAGTCACTAACATACTCACTTTCCACAGCGACAAAAGGGTAATTTCCTAGTGTATGATGTGTTCAGCTTTCATGTCCTGTCTCCCTTACATCTGGTCAATTTCCTTAACAGTTGCTCATGTGCGGCCTGGGTGACGTCGATGTGAACGACTGGAGACAGCATTCTATTTACAAGAATGGCTACTGCCCAAACCACCCTGTCATTCAGTGGTTCTGGAAGGTAAGTCCAGTGCGCCCAGGCCCTGCTCCGCCGAGTTGGGGCAGAGGGCTCAACAGCGGGCTCTCTCAAATGGCTTGACTTTAGGACTGATGCTGGATGTAGGGTCTGCTTGGACTAGGACCATTAGGAAGGGAAGAGCCCTGTCTAGAATTTCTGTCATGCACAGCATGAGATTTGAATCCTCATGAAAGGCCACTGCCCTTCCTTGACCACCTGTTAAAGCAACTTTTTTTTTAGGAATCCATTGAGTAAGAAAAGGAGTTCAGTGGTCTCCAGAGTACTGTGAAACTAGGCCTCAGAAGTGGAAATCCGAATGAGCTTTCTCAGGGTATAAACTCACTGTCAGGGCTGACTTGTCCAAGATGCCATTTTTCTGTGAAGAAACCGTTTTCTCAGTTTTTTTTTTTTTTTTTAAACTAGTTCCAATTTGGACCTTTATATCTCTCAACCAAAAATGCAAATGAAAATTGATTTACTATCTTAGGGCCAACGCTTGCATCCTGTTCGGCTCAGGAGGGAAGTGAAATAGAAATGGGTTTGTTCAGAGAGATGGAAAGTAACTTTAAAAAAAAAAAAACTACCCCACCCCCAACCAAAAAAAGACTTGATTAAATTTAAAGAGATTATCTAACATTTTAATTTCTAAAGTTTAAAAAATTAGAAATTATTTGTCATTAATATTATTTCTATCAGTAATTATTTCTATTATTAATTATAAATTATTTTTATTTTTTAAGTGCCGGCAGAAGTATGGGGAGAAGCTAAAACAATCTTCAAATCCTTGATTAAGTCTCAGTCACCTATGACTTTGTTTTTTTATTTTTTATTTTTTAGTTATACATGGATATAGTATCTTTATTTTGTTTATTTTTATATGGTGCTGAGGATCGAACCTAGTGCCTCACATGTGCAAGGCAAGCGCTCTGCCACTGAGCCACCACCCCAGTCCTCATATGTTTTTTTAATAGCAGTTCAAGCAGCATCCAGATATGTAACATCACACAGATGGCTTTAGAGGCCTATTTTTGCCTTTGTTTTTCCTTCTTTTCATAAAATGTTGTCTTTGGGGAATTTGCAGTCTGCAATCCTGTCTCCTCACCTGGGTTCCCCTTGTGACGACCATTCTGGAACACTATATATTTATAATTGGCCTTGAGGGAGCTGGCAAGCCTCAAACTCAGAAACCTGAGCTGGATGCCATCAAAGAGTTTGCTTTTTATATCATTTATTTTGGCCTCTTGGCAGAAGAAGAAAGACCTGGTGATCAGTCACTAAGATTAGAGAGGCTGGAATTGTGGTAGCCATTTAAAAAAAATAAAATAAAAATACTGACTCTGTTTTCAGGGTCAACTGTCTAGGTCTTCTTCCATGGCAATATAAATAAGATTAAATTTGCCTGCCCGCATTCCAGCAGCATGTGCTGCATGTCACATGGGGACATGATGGCCTTCTGCCTCTGTTCATAGGCTGTGCTTCTGATGGATGCAGAGAAGCGGATCCGGTTACTGCAGTTTGTCACAGGGACATCCCGAGTACCCATGAATGGATTTGCCGAACTTTATGGTGAGCACCATGCCCAGATCCACTTCTCCTGTGGGGTTCTAGCCCCGTGTCTCCTGTGGGCCAGGGACACTCTGCCCCCCGAGGCCTCTGCCAAGGCTAGGAAGCCCTGTCAGGTCTGCATGCTCACATGCTCATATGGGTTTCATAGGGTCCTGCGTAGACAGACAGGTGCTTCTACCTCAGGAAAGGCACAGTTTGTGAAGAGAACCATAGTTTTGTATTTTCCTTTTTTCTTTTTTTTCTAGTTTAGTTTTTTTAGTATATCTTTAAAAACAAGGTTTCCCCTACCCACCCATGTGGTTCCAGAATCACCAGGTGATCCTCTCAAGGACGCCTCCCCTCCAGGGGGCGAAATTCCTCAGTGCTCACTTGAAAGAAATCACTCTTCCTACTGCATGTTGAAGCTCACATTCATTCATTTCCCCAAAAGCAGCTATAGATTTACCTGCTGGGCCCAGTGCAGGTGTTGCTATGCTGCTTGCACCTGGGGCAGTTCCATCTGGCAGGTGCAGCCGAGTCTGTGCCATGAGCTCGTGCCACTCCCAATGCTCCCAGCATTTAGTACTGTGCCCCTGCAAAAGGTGGTCTCACAGGAGTCACCCCAAGCCCTGCCCAGCAGTGGCCACTGTCCTCCCGTCTTCCCTCTTCTCTGAGTGTCCCTGCGGCTCTGTCCTGCTGCCACAGGCCCTGCTGACATGTCTTGTTCTTTCCTGTCCAGGTTCCAATGGTCCTCAGCTGTTTACAATAGAGCAATGGGGCAGTCCTGAAAAGCTGCCCAGAGCTCACACATGGTAAGTGACCCAATGCTGGAGTGTCAGCCCACAGTGTGCTGCACACTCGGCTGCGTGACGCCAGCCTAGAGGAAGAGTGCTGCACTTCCTACCCATAAAGAGCTCAGGGTGAAATGACAGTGTCGTGATGAGAACATAAACTGCAGTAAACGCCGACAGAACTGGAAGGCATGGTCTGATTCCTCCCAGAGTGTTTGCACATAAAGGGCCAAGGCCTCCATTCCTCAGGACCCCCTCCAGACCCCACCTCCCTGACTCTTCTAGGGAGCAGAGATTTCACTTTTCATCATTTAGGTGTGTGGCAGCTGTGAGCCTCTCAACAGGGCTGGGTTTTGCTTCTACCTTAAACAGGTCATTTGGAACTTAGGTTAAAATTTCCTATAGAAGCCTTGATTTCAAAAGTGTAGGTCAGTAGCCCATGACCCCCCAGAATTTACTGAGATCATGGATGAAAGAGTGTTAAGAGGTGGCCCATGGCCCAGGGTGGCAAGGAGTGGCACCCCACACCCTTAGGAGGCCCTGTCAGGCTGCAGGTAGGAAGGAGGCCTCTGTTGTTTCCTTGGAAGAGTTGCACAGCACCCACACAGACTTGGCCCAGTGGGTTTGTGAAACCACATACAGAGACCTCTTGCTAATCCGAGCTCATGTCCCTGTGTTGGTTTTTCTGCTTAGGCTTTTCAATCTTGCTCCTTAGAAAGCAGGGGTGTGGGCCTCCTGGAAGTAGTGAGCAGCATGGCCTGCCACTGTCACAAGCAGCAGGGCTTCCAGTCTGCAGTGACCACACTGGGCTTAACATGAGCCACAGACGCTCCACAGATACATGTGTCTTCCCTTCCCTATTGCCAGATAAATCTCACCAGCCTTGTAAAGCATGTCTCCTGGTTCAGGTAAAGTCTTCCTCCACGTACTTACAGGAAGCTGCTGCTTTAAAGGGAAGGGCCTGATAGAGGAGAGTCATAAAAGTGAACTTGTAAAACATTGGCTGTGGAAAGGTATTTTCCTTCTGTATAGAAAAGAATGGTTTTTCCATTTATACCAGTCATATGACTCTGAATGGAGTGAGTGTGGTCACTGCCTGTCAGGCCTTTTTGAAGCAAGCCAAGTCCAGCCTAAAAGTGGTGAATATCCAGAACAGTCATTGTCTTGGTTCTCGGCCTTTGTTCTAGGGAAACATGTTTTGATAGTCTAGAGTTTTTATTCCGAACAGTATCAGAGTCCAGGGTAGCATTCTGGGTTCCGACAGCCTCGGTTTGGAAGGCAGCCCTACAGAGCCAAGCCCCAGGAACCAGCTGTATCCATGCAGAACTCCCAGTCTCAAGCACCAGTAAGGGTGAATATTATAAATTAGTAAATTACTGGGAAGAAACATCATCCATGGGTCAGGCAATTTTCCTCTTGATGACAACCTTATGATACACTGTGATCATTCCCCAGGGTGTTAGGACACTTGCTCAGGAATACACAGTCCACAGATTCCCAAATCACAGGATTTGAACTCGGGTCAGCTACAAATAGCCAGTTCCCTTCACTGCACCATGTCCACTTCTGTGGTTACAGCCCTTGTCCTGTTCAGTCCCTGCCCCTCTGTGACCCTGTGGTCAGGTACCTGACTGTTGAACTTCTTTTCAATTTTGGAGCCACGATTCAACCCGCTGACCTTAGCTGTGCAGTGGAACCACAAAGAAGGTGTTAAAAACACCGATGCCAAGCTCCTGCTTGCAGAGAATAGGACCTGGTTGGTGTGGCATGTGGCCTAGGCAGTGGGACTTTAAGGAAAAAATATTTTCAAAGATTCGTTTTTAAAGGTAGACTTAGGAAGGGCAAAGGTTACCTAGGAGGAAGAGAGCCCAACTGCCTCTTCCCAAAGCTGATTTTTCTGGTCTCTGTGTCATGAAAGTAAAGCCAGCTGGCCCTCACCAGACTGACCGAGGACGAGGGGCTGGCTCCAGGTAGGACTGCGGTACTCTGTCTGAATGGCTTTCCTCTGGCCAGGCCCTGTTGGTGGGAACAGGAACTCTATGGCCACTTCTTAGCAATGGTTCCACTGTGACATTCCCCATGGAGATGTTTCATTTCTTCCATGTTCCATGAGAACATAAAATGCACAGACTGCAAACTGAAAAATCTGATTTAGCAGAGTGAGCAGAGCTGACAGAGCTGGCCCTCTGAAGGGTCCTCGGATGCCCCTCTCAGGTGTCTGACATTCGTGGGGCTTCAGTTCATTGTTCTGTGAGAGTCGCTCCTCAGAAGTTTAAAATGACTCTTTAAGAGGAATCACAGACCCCCCTGCTGTATCCATGATCTCATTGGCCCACACACCCTAGCCCGCTACAGCCTGCTGAGGACAGGGACTGACTCTTGTCATCTAGTTGCCTCGTGGCAGACCAAGCCAGGTCCTTCAACAGTAACTGGCACCTGGTACCTTCCAGGCACTGTCCCAGACACCAGAACTGACTGACCCTCATAATTGTCACAATTCAAAGACTTGGGTCATGGTGACCCATTCTTACAGAGAAGAAAGCTGACCTCAGCTCTTAATACTCCTCTCTTCACCTCCTCTCTCCATTATGTTAGTATTTCTTGAACTCAAATCCCATATAGGCCTCTTTTAAAAGGAAAAAATCTTCACAGATCCTTGAGAGTGGGTCTTCAGACTCTATGGGAATTGCAGACCCTGGACCATGAGCCTCCCATGTGAAAGAGCCACATTCTGTGGAAAGCACTTTCTAGTGCCTTTCTGAGAAGTGCCATTTAGGAAGCACAGAGTTGCACTCTCGATGTTTACCGGCCGCTATGAAGTCTGAGTGGGGCTCGTTAAACATGTTAGGGTTAGTGGGGCCCAGCATGGAGAGGCATTTGTTTCTGCTGATGATGATCAGTGGTCAGCTTTTAAAACATGCAGAGCGGCTCTGTTCATACTTGGAGTCAGGTCAGCACGGGGTGGGGTCAGCTTTAAGCACAAATGGTGTGGCACTCACAGTAGAGGCAGCCATGCGTGGGTCAAGGGGTGGGCTTCAGAGCCAGCCTGCAGCAGGTTACCTCGCCTCCGCCTCAAGTTCCTCCTCTGTAAAGCCAGGGGAGAAGCATTACCTTCCTTAACAGGGCGGGTGCCAGGGCTCAGTGCAGGAGGACAGGCACAGCACCGAAACAGGCCCACTCCACGAATGTTAGCCCTCCTCGAAAGATCATGAGCCGCTGCCAGGGTGTGTGGCCATGTCAGGACAGGTGGCCACATTCAGGGCATTCACATCGGCAGTCCCGACAGACACTGATTCAGCAGACATTCAGTAAATATTGAATGAATAACAACATGGATCACCATCATCTACTGAGTGAACCGTGACACTGGCACACTTGCTGCCCTCCAGGCCCACCTGACATGTGTTCAGATCTGACCCTCCCAACACCCAATGAGCAATTTCCCCTTTTCACAGATGAGCAGACAGATCCCAAGAAGTAAGGTGATTTGCCAGAGGTCACATGGCTAGCAAGTGGTCGAGCCAGAATTTGAACTCAGTTCTATAAACAAGTAGACGGTATGCCTGCAGGGGCCATCCACATGTCTGAAGACTTTATTCTCACCAGGGTGGTTTGCAGCGCCCCCAACTGAAGCCGCCTGATGTGTAAGGGCTGTCCTAAAGGGTACAGCTCTTTTCTCCAAACCTCTGGCTAGTCTGCCTTTGGTTAGCAAAGATAACCTGTCATTGGTGTTCTGGAGCCCAAGTAGCCTGGCCTCTGCTTTGGGGTTCACAGCTTTCCTAGGAGTAGGACCCACAGCACCTTGGCTGTGCCTCACTGCTTCAGGACACATCTGCAGATTGGAGGTCACTCTGCCCACCTTGAAGGCTTGTGATGAAAGTCAAGGAGTCCATACAGAGACCTGCACTTGGCTCAGGCCTAGTGGAGAATAAGTGATAGCATTGGAAATGGGCATAGCCTCGCTGCATCAGCAGCCCTGGAGCATGCATTAATGCTCCTTCTAGCAGAGGTTTCATGGACTATTAGAAAAGGGTTTTTCTCCTCGGTAATTATATAGCTTGCTTGGTTTGGGCAGTTTCATAGCTAGAATTTATTTATTTTGTACTCAGAATTGGGGCTAAAACCTTTTCATTCCCTTGTGCAAACACCAATTGCCCCGTTAGCCAAATCTAGGAAGTGCTGTTGGAACTAAAGGGTGATAATGGTGGCCTTCTACCTACACTGTTTGTTCATTTTGCAGCTTTAATCGCCTTGACTTACCTCCATATGAAACCTTTGAAGATTTACGAGAGAAGCTTCTCATGGCCGTGGAAAACGCACAGGGATTTGAAGGGGTGGATTAAGGCCTTCTGACTCGGGGCTGTCCATCAAGCAAGTTCCCCTTGCACTTTTGCATTTGCCTAACAGACTTTTGCAGAGCAGGGGGCAGAGACCACTGCACGTGCTGTCTGAGCCCGGCCTCCACCCGGGCCCTGCCCGAGTTCAGATGCGGGAACCCAGTCCCAGCTCGAGTTCCCACCTCTTCTACCACAAATCCTCAACTGGTTGATGTGTACACTAATTACATTTCAGGAGGACTTGTTCTATTTATGTTGTGCCTCTGCAGGCAAAGCCCTTAATAAATATTTTGCATACTTTCTAATGACAATGAATGGAATTAATCACTCCACAGGTATAGTATTACAACTCATGTTTACTTTTTAAAATGATTTAGACCGATTTTCAGATTTTATTTCATTACAATTAAAGATGTCTCATGTACTTAGAAAGTGAGCATATTTTTTTTGTATTTGAATTTCATACCAAGCTTAATGTTAATGACATTTTTATTTTTGAAGTACTTTGACACCCCTCCACCCTCTACTTTATTAGAACTGGAAGGCTCACTTTTGTCCAAAAGCCTTCCACAGACAAGTACTTTTGAAAGAATTTCAAATAAAGCATTAGGCATAATGATAATTTTTCCATACTCAGAATGAAAATAAACTGGATATTACTTTCTTTTGTACAAATTTAGGTAATAGCTACAGGCTGAGAGAATTGTAACATAGCATGACATTTGTGTTAACTTGAAAGGAATCACACCATTATTCCTTAGAAGTAATTGTGTGTGCTATAACACATTTGAGGCAGGGTTGGACTATCATTTCTCATTGGAGAAATTACTTAACCCTTCCTTGCTGTACAGTCATCATTTTATTATATTTTCCCCTTTGCTGTCTGTCATAGAGACATTTTGAATGAAACTTGGCATTGCTTGATTCGAAACTGCGGAAGCCAGATCCGTTCTGTCTCCTCCGGGTGTGCATTTGCCAACGGCGGCAAAGTAACCGGTTCCTGCTCTAACTGCGCCACTTCTGAAGGCACTTTATGTACTACGCGGAGGTCATATCTGGTTCCATTTTTGTTTTTTAACATACACATTAAGTGTGACGATGATTTCTTCTCCCTGCGCACATCTTTCCTGTGCGATGTCTATCAGTTGTGAATCTGGCTGCTGGTGTATAGAAACCCGGATGAAAAGCTGAGCCTACAGACCTGTCCTCTCCAATTGTTTTGTGACTTCTACTCGACTACAAGGATTTATTTAATATACACTTAATGGAACCGAGTTCTGTTCCCTATGACCTGGTGCATGCTTCAGTACCGTGTCCCGCCCAAGTCGTGTCTGTTGTACACTAGATTAACAGACTCAGTTTGCTCCACTGAGGTCAAGCTGCTAAACTGGGGGTGGCGGAGGATTGAGGGTGTGTGCACAGTTTGCTGCTTTTCCACTTTTAAGTCTCGTTGCAGAATTCTGTCATGTTTAGAGACTATGTCTGAGACAGCGTGGGAGTGCAGTTGTCCTACCATCCCTTTTAACTTGTGTTGTGGTTGTTGGGGAGCACTGGAGGTTTGATTTCTTGGCAGGCATATTTAAGACAAAAAATTGTGATTTTGAAGTCTCTGTAATAGAAGAAAGAGCTCTGGTGTAAGAATTTGCTCATATGCAAATTATGCAGCTCCGAATGGCACGTGAGATGCCCTGGGCGGCTGTGGCTGTGAAGAAGCACCGAGGCCTCAAGTTACAGAAGGTGGATTGCTGTGGAGCTCAGTGCTGGCTCCTGTTCATAGTGGCTTAAAATACCTAGGAGTGACCAGAAAACTTACATGCTAAGTAATTATAAAAAATGATGTTGCTCATTTTTTTTTTTTTTGCCTTTTGGTGGGAAATTTTCCCATAAAACCAACATGACAAATGTCTCAGTGGTAAAGGTCCCTTTTTTGTTGCCCTCCTAGTCCAAAGTTATAGTAATCTTTAAAAAAAAAAAAAATCATGCCATTTGAGTTGAGCAGAGTCCTTGGATGAATTTTGAGAATGATCAGGTCATTATAGGAGGAGAAATCTAATTTCTACTGTGAAAACTGGGATTCTTCAGTCATTTCATAAACTGTGTGCATTTCATGAATATTTTGATTTTTTGAAAACAAACTAGCCCAGGTATTGAAAATAAGAAAATAGAAACTATTCTCATCATTTTTAAGCCAGGAACAGGAGAATTATTGAAATATGCCCCTGAGAATATTTGAACGATGGTAATTGTGAATGGCACATTAGTTTATCTACCCCTTGATACTCCTCCAATTTTTAACAATTAAACATTGCTGGATTTGGGGTTTGGTTAAATGAGAATGCAGTCACTAGTCCTCAGCTGTTTGTGAAGTTTTTCTCTGCCTAAAGGCCCCGAATCTCTCCTAGATCTTGCTGTCTGCTGTTGCCTGCTCCAGGCAGCAGTGGAGAATGCACTGCAGGAAGAGCAGGTTTTTGAGTCATTCTCTGACCTCCCTGCTCCAACAACTGTCCTGGGGGAGGAGGTTGGTGCTGCCTGTCCTCCTTGTCCCACCAGCCACACTGCTCTGCACTTCGCGGACTCTGTTGCCCATTTGCTCCCAGGCCACAGTGACCACCATAACCCCTTTCCTCTGGCTCCCTGCAGAAGGTGGTTGTCGGGGCTGAGAAGTGAGTGCTAGAGTTCGGGAAGGCTCTGAGTGTCACTTGGCTGCCTGTGGATCCTGGGTGTTACTGTTCCTGCCCCTGGTTGGCCTTTGGATGAATTTGGGAAGTCCACAAACAGCGTTAGCTTTGGAGAGTGTTGCTTCTCCACTCACTGCCCCTGGAACAGGCGACAGGAGGCATTTTTCTCAATGTGTCTGACCTCAGTGCACTTTCCTTGTTTTTCTGAAACATGGACTGTCCTTTACTTTTCTGCAGCCAGTCCTCTAACAGATCACCAGGAAGGGACAAACTTAAGTTTTGTTTCCAAAGCCCTTTAGAACAGTCCCTAAATTCAGATGGTGGATGAGAGAAAGCAACTTGACATGAATTATTCTTCCCGTGTGAGGACCCGGTGTCAGAGTCTAAAAAATGATGTGCAAAATATTTGAACCACTTTCTACATCTCTCAATGTGGTGTAGGCAATTCATATGCCTGTTCTTTGACCTTGCAGGATCCCAGTTGACTCTCAGAAGCCAGGGTCACGTGCAGCAACTTTCTAATTGTTCTAACAGTGAGGAGTTGTTTATCATTGACTCTTGTATATTCCTGATTGTTGTGTATCTCATCTCTGAAATGTTGAAGTCTGCAAAGAGAGCTTGGGTTCATCAGCTCTCCAGTAGCTTCCCATTGTACTAGCTGTCTGCTTCCTGTCCTCTCCCTTCCTCACCCAGACTAAGCACCCCTGTGCTGCCCTGTGCAGAGGGGAGATGCTGCCTGGAGTCATTTTCTGATGTGCCAGTAGGGGTGCTGCTGTGCAGGGTGACTGCCTGCCCTGCTCCCCACTGACCCCCCAGATCTTGTACTACCTCTGTCTCCTTCAGGCATTGGGATACCTAAGTCACGTCAAAACTGCCAATTTCAGGACTGAGATGTGTTCAAAAACTTAAAGAATCCACTTAGTACTTTAGCTTTTAAAACTGGGAAGAAAATGTGATATACTTTGGACCACTTTTTTTTTTTAATTTATATAAGCCTTAATGAATGGTGTATATACACTTGCGTACGCACACTCCACCCCAGAGTGTTTTCAGTGTGTGAGAAAATGCTGTAGCTTTAGTATGTGAGCCTTTGTAATGATTCCTAAGAAAAGGGGTAGCTTTCTGTTGGTACAGAATTTTCCAGGAAAACCACTCCTTTGACATCTCTCCTGTATTAAAGATGTTGCCCTCAAAGCAATGCATGTTTGAAGCGCATGTCTCTTTGCTGGTTTTATGTTTGTAAGGAATAATGACATCACTTCGTGTACTGCATTCTCGACCTGGCACCAGTGCATCGAAAGCCTTTCTCAGGAACATAACCTGCATCGACAGAAGCCTGTGTTCCCGTTTAAGCCAGTCTACCCCTCGTATCTGGACTGATTTCACCTAGTTTGTCATGGTTTCCTTCATGTTAATTTTGTGTGACTTTGTTCTTACTACTCTGTATGTAACATACCTGTATACCTACATATGCTGTCCAAATATATGTGTATATATTTGTATAGCATTTTTACACCTCTACAAGTAATCCGGTTTCAAAAGGGAGAGCTCAGTCCCTTCTGCAGTTTTCTCCAAGCTGTGTGCTGAGAATTCTGATGCTCAGAGCCGAGAGAACCCTAGGAAAAAGATGTTAATTCGCTGTCATTTATTAATTCAGGATCTGTTATCAAATGAAACCTGAAAAAAAAAACTGACTTTAAGGTGAAAAGTGTTTCAAGCATTCCAAATGAATTCTCAATGTTTCATAACTTTTTATTATAAACCCACCTCCTAAAATGAAGCCAAGTACTATTTGGTCAAACAAAACCAACTACCTTGATTTTTTTTTTTTTTTTTTTTTAAGGACAACTTATGGATAATGCTCATTTTCACAATCAGAATAGCTTTAAAATACGGTTGAATTTGATACAGGAAAAGTTTTGTTCAAGAACAAGTCCTTTTTGCTTTTCTTGAGCGCTAAAGAGAAACCGTCGCTTGTTTTCCTGACAGCAAAAGAGTAATGTGGCAAAATGAAGTCATTGTAAAAAGTGATGCGACTTGTCGAATATTTAATAAAGAATTATGGAAGCTGGAGCATTTTCTACAGCAAATATTATGGGTTTTCTGGTTTCAAGTTTCTTAGTGCATGCGTCATCGTGATTGTGTCAGAGGGGTTTAAACGCCTGCAGGCTTGTGGTATGTTCACTTCCTTAATCTCCACTTAAAGTTCCACGCCTTTATAAATAGTCTGCCCAGAACACACTGCTTCAGCATAATATGAGGATGCCCAATTGTTCTCATCTGCCATTTCATCTTTTTAAACTGGCGCATTTTATATAACAGCATATAACCCATATATGAATCTGTTCCTGGAAAGCCAGGTTTCCCCTCTAGTTATCCAAGTGACCCTCTGCTCATTAAAAAGGTTGTAGGACCCAATGATGAAGCTACCCTCTGCTCATTAAAAAGGTTGTAGGACCCAATGACGAAGCTACGGTTGTGCTCAGGAAGTTGCGATAGCCATACCTGTGTCAGTTCCCTTGTAAAACTCTCTGGCATGTTTCCATACACCGTGTCATTCTGCTCAAATAATCTTTGTTTTGGGGAAATTTTTCCTCTTTTTGTTAGTACTGAGCCTCATCTGTGTCCTTTGGCCATTCCCTTGGGGACTTCCTGCTGTGATTCTGGGCAGGATGTGATGGAGTGAGCCCTTGATTTCTTGTCTTTTTCCTTTAGCAGAGGAGCTTGCTGGAAAGCCGTCAACAGCACCCAGAGCTCCTGCCTCCCCACCTGGGCTTACACAGACACACCTATGAGGTGTGTGGGGCCAGAACCACTCTGAACTCTTCTGTGTTAAAGCAAAATATAAAGAGTAAAATGAGGGCTTGTGGCTCAGTGGTGGAACACTTGCCTGGCATGTGTGAGGCCCTGGGTCCAAGTCTCAGCACCACCTCTAAATAAATGAAGGCCTATCAACAACTAAAAAAAAAATTTAAAAAGTACAATGAATAAATTACCTCAATGACACAGTGGCTGGCTGGCAGCTCTTGACCTTCTCTGATATAGGCACTTCCAAAATTTTAAAGCCCCTGGTGAGTGTCAGCAGTGAACATGAGTGTCCCCAAATTCTACAACTAGCTCTCCAGGCTTTTGGCTCAAAAGAGCCAGGTTTGAAGAATCCCTGGGGTAAGAATAGAAAAGCTACTTTGTGGTTTGTTTGCTGCTGCCTCCTCTGAGAGACCATTTCGGTGGGTTTCCAGAACACTGGAGCTGGGGAGTCATTAAAGGACTTGAATTGGGCAGAGGGGAAAATTGAGTCTGGGTTTACTGAAGACTGAGCATAGACTCCATAACTAGGTCCTCAGCAGGCTGAGGAGGGTGAGAATAGAGAGATTCCCTGTTGGGGACTTTGCAAGGCTGACCTGTAGCCCAACTGAGGAAGGTCAGTTTGCCCCAAGCAGACCGTCACTTCTGCCCAGTGCCTTTCAGGGCCCCTTCCCCAGCCAGTTCCCCATACTGCTAGTACACCCCCTTCCCCTCCAGATCCCAAATTGGCCCTGACTACATTCCCGGTGGGCTTCAAGTCACAGGCAAGGGAGGGTAAAGGGGTGACAGGGTAGGTGGAGGGATTCTCCCTGCCTCCAGCGAGGTGACACTTCCTGTGGTCCACTGGGAATAACCTAGACTTGCCAATTTCAGTTGTGCTGGCCAGTTCCTTGTAGCTCTGCGCTGGCTGCAAGCTCTCTGCTGGAATTGTGGAATGGAGGGGCAGTGTTGGGGGTGGCAGTAGGTGCCCATGTATGCACCCCAGATTTTCTTTTCACTCACCAAACCCTAATGTGGGGGGATTTTTTCCCTCCTGGAGGGGAAGTCTTAATTTGCAAGTTAAGTTTGGAAGGTGCGCTCAGTACCAGAGTCAGCGTACCACCAAAAGGACCAGACTGGACCTAAATACCATGAAGGGCCATAGGCAAGAGAGGCAGATCTGTGGTACAGAGCTGCTGGGCCTCAGATGACCTGGCCGAGGGACCCCTGGCAGTGCCCCAGCCAGGCTCCTCTGCCAAATTGATGAGAAGGCAAGTTTGGGCGATTTCTAAGCAATACCCTTCCTTGGCAGTTTTAGATAGAGTTGCCAGAGCCAGGAGGTTAACTTTCCAACCCTGCTTGGCTTGGTCAGAGCAAATGCCAAAACAAGCCAAAGGTTGAAGATTCTCTGCTGCAGTGTCCCGAGCTCATGGAATGTGCACCCCAGAGGGCCTCGGCTTTGTCTTTCCAGCACCCTCATTTTCCATCTGAGCCTCAGGGCTCTTGCCCCTAAACACTCCATGTGACCAGGACTGTGGTCCTAGAGGACCAGGGCCAGGTTTTCAGTCTGAGTCCAGAAACTAGTATTCGTTCTCATTTGTGTCCTGAGGACTGTGGGCAGTCTGCCCTCCCCCGTGCACATCCAGACACCATAAAGGCACTTCTCCAAACCCAAGTACAGGGAAGGAGAGAGTCCCCCTGGCACTTGGCACTGTCAGAAGAAGGGAGGTCGAGGAGCCCGCAGGAGGTGCCAAGGCAACCTGGGCTTTACCAACCCCGGCAGCCTCCCTCGGCCTCCTGGGCTCTTGGAGAAGAGGGCACAATGCTTGGCACCAGGACAATTTGAAGAACCTTAACCAGCCTCCGGAAACACATCATCCCAGACAGGGGCAGATCTCAGCAAGCATCTGCAGGACATTGATTGTCTCATCAGAGGCTCAGCCCCCTGACAGCCCCACCTCGCTCCCTCTAGCCTTCTCTTTCCTCTTTCAGAAGGCCCTGAGCCGGCACACAGAGCTGCTGGGGAGGGGGGAAGGGGGTCCTCTAGTCCAGGCCCTGCTCTGCTACTCTTCCAGTCACCCAGACAGCCACTTGGATGTGGGGCTGCAGGCACTGCCCTTGAGGCTGAGACCAGCCTGCCCTGAGATGGCAGCCCTATGCCAGCCTCCTCATGCATGGGCCCTGTTTCCATGCAGTGGCAGAGGACAAAAAACTAATAGTCATCTCTTTTAGTGAACCATTGATTCTGTAGGCTTAAAATCACCTTTGGGAAATAAATATTCAGGGCATTTATTGATCAAGCTCCTTTTGAGGTGCTTTCCTGCACAGGGTCCTCCTGGCACAGATCCCTGCCGCCTTCTTCCTCAGGCCCTTGGGCAATGTCCTCTCTGTCTCCTGCATGGGTTCGCAAGTCCTCTTGGGATCTCCTGCTGCCTCACCTGCCCTGTCCTGTCTAGGATGCTCGCTCCAGCTGCACCCTGGAAAGGCCCCACAGCACTCCCACCGAGCTCCTCAGCCACTTCTGTGTCTCCTGAGACCCTGCTGCTCTGCACCTCTGAGACTTCCCACCAGGATGTGGGACACAGTCTTTGCTGCTTGCAGCTGCTCCCACGCCACCCAAGGGCTATTCGCTGACATTTTTTCCCCTTGCCGTGGCCCAGGGTGCTGACTCCTGGGGTCTCAGACCCTTCCCCACACCAGTCCTTTCCCTTTGCTGAGAGCTCCCTGGGAACCTGAGGCCTTTAGAGAAAGTCTGTAATGGAATCACCTAAATTTGTTTTTGATGTGGAAAGAGAATATTTTAGAGGAAACAGAAACTGCTTGTCCCTTAGCAAAACCTGGTATACAAGGCCATTTTCCCCCTCGGCATTAAAGAGAGTCAGCCTTCAGCCTGAAACACAACAGCGACTCCCCACCCCCAATGTTTTATTAAAAGTTTTGCAAACAATCAGAAAAATTTGAAAGTATTGCACAGTGAGCGCTCCTGTGCCACCACCCAGATTCTGCCCTTCCCTTCCCCTCTGCTGGCTTTTCCTCAAACCTATCATGAGTCCACCGTTAAGCCCCTCCTAATTATTGAAGCATTGCAGAGTAAATTGCAGACATCATTACTTTCCCCAACACTCCAGCAAGCAAATCATTAACTAAACTTTTCACTTTAATTCACAAAGAAATTCAAAATCTTAAGTGTACATTCATACCTGTGTACCCCAAATTGCCATCACCACAGAAGTTGTTTCATGCCTCTTCCAAGTCAACCCCACCCCAGCCGCTCAGAGCTGTTCTGAAATTTCCCCCTATATATTAATTTTGCCTGTTCTAGAATTTCATACCGAACTACACAACTTATTAACAAGGAATTTTTAAATTATAATTGGCACCTCTGCTACCTGGAAACAATAATCACTTGTTAAGTCAATTGACAGGAAGCCAGGGGGGCATGAGGAATGAGAAAAGTCAGTTTAATATTCAAACAGTATCCCACTTCATAAGCAACACAACAGTCTCTATTTTTCGAATTCACTCAGTCATCTTGTAGGATGTTCAAGCCTCAAATCGTTTACATACAATGATCATCTTGGACTTCTGGGTGGAAATCCAGGCACATTTCACAAGGAAGAAGGCCAGTGTTCATGAGGGCAGGCTAGCACTGTAACAAGCAGTGCCCAATCATGGTGTCTTAGTCAAAGTCCCACGTAGGTCAGAGCAGATACCCTGTGCCATGCAGTCATCTAGGGACTCAGCACCCTCCTTTGATGGCCCCACAATTCCCTGGGATAGGATCCTCTGTAACCCACAAGCAGAGGAGGGAAGAGAGCCTGGGGAAGATTGTGTAGGAGGACCAGGCTGGAGGACAAGCCCCTGCCCACCTTCCCCTGGCCACACCTAACTGCAGAGGAAGCAGGGAAATACCTAGTGGCTCCCAGAGGAAAGGGGAAGGAGATTGGGACCAACAAGCCAAACTCTGCCATTATGAATCTGTCTTCAGCCTTCAGTCTCTCTTTGTAGAATTCCCCCCTTGGGATAGTGGCCTTTCTGACATTTGGTAAACTTCAGGGCTTTTGAGGGTACTGTCTTATGATGCCACTACCACTTTTCATCAGTCTTCACATTAGCCTAATGAGGTAGACATTATTAGCACCAATACAGTCTGGGAGGTTATGAGGCTCATGGGTTGGTACTGTGAACCCAGAGTGTCTGGCTCAAAAGCACCATTTAACCACTGACTCCACTCCCCAGCCACCGTCCCTTCCATCAAACCTCCTATCCAAGGAAAGAGCCCGAAAACTCATTTATTCTAAGATGTAAATG